ATACGACTACTCGTTGTTTAAGTAAAATTATGTGGACTGTAAGTAAATTGTTATGTAATAATAAATAAATAATGTGTTCAAAATGTATTAAAACCTTGTAGTTTTGTACATTAAATCCAGGAGCACTGCGTGCAATTAGGGCGATCTATAAGGGTCGTGGGAGTAGTATTCGCGCTTAAAGCGAAAGAGTGGCCACCTGGTGGAGTTTTTTAGAACTGCTCTACTGGGGAAGGTGTGCATTTGATTACATTATATTGATTATTGAGTAGGTAGTAGGTATTGATTTCTGAGTTTCTTTGTAATAATCTCGTTTCGTCGTAATAATTAGAAATATAGCTTTATTTGTTGATATTATGGATGATCATAATTAATATTCTAGCTAAATGTATAATAAAAATTCATAAATTAAATACAAACTTGTATTGAACTTACATAATATAAAATATACAATACAGTGTTTAAAATGTACTTACTTCGTGAGGTTGTTCCGACTTTTATGTGTAGTACATTTTCTGATAGTAAATCGTTGTGGGGAGGTACTTTGGGGAGGTTATTTTTCGATTTTCTCAATAATTTTCTCATCAAGTGTAAAAACCGAAAAAAATTTGAGACGAAAATTGTACGAAATATATTACTAAAATATTACGATTTTTTTTTCCTGCGAACAACTTTTCTATAAGCAATTTTGCTCTAATTTAGAATGATAGAACTTTTTGTGAAAGAAAATCTAACTGAAAAGGTACTATAGAGAAGTAATTTTTTTGATTTCCCAAGAGTTTTCCCGGCAAATCTAAAAAACACAGAAAAATGTGGGAAAAACGGGAAAACCGGTATAATATTTAACAAATATTACTCAAGAAAATATACAAAGCCTATTTAATTATTTTACCACAATATGAGATATATTGCTGACAAAACATCACTCATCTGAACTCCGCTCAGAATTATTTTTTCACTAGCAACGGCTTATCGTTGCTTGCAGATACACATTAAATTACCTACTATAGCAGTGGCCGCATCCATCCCTATTATCCTAGGACATATTTTTTACTCTTTGACCTATTTAAATAATATGCTAGCATTTAACTATTTCTGGACCTTCGACAAAAGATCTTTTAATATTACCAATATATAGAATTATATCGGCGATTTCTATGACAGAAATAAACATTATGTACTTTTATTAGGTACTACAAACTGTAAACAAAATAAGTTTTAATAGATTGACTGCTATGAGATCCTTATGTGGGTCACACTCTGTTTTTGGTCATAACAAATAATTTTTTGATAATTTTATACGAAATTGGTATTTTATAGTTTATGGTCTCCTAATATAGAATTTAACCATTTTTTGGTGTGACCCACGGGTGTGTCACACAAACTTTTTGGCAATACTTGAATTTTTTTTAAGAAAATTATAAAAAAAAAACAACTTGTAATAAATACATTATTTTGGATAAATTACTATTATTCTAATGCTATAATAGCGCTCATCTTCCCGGGTAGTTCACAGTTTTCAAAAAAAAGGTTAAGAAATCGTAGCCATATCGATCTGCACGAACACCAACGCTAAGAAAAAAAAAGTTGAATTAAAAATGTAGTTCCACCAATAACGCAGAATAAAGTGAAGAGTACTATAGATGAAAGTACATTTAATTGGTATAACTTATTTATGTATAGCCGTAATGCCGTATTGATATTAGGTAATGGGTACTAATCGGTTATCGCGGAAATACGAAATACCAAAATATGGTACCATGAATCTATGATAATTGAGGAGAGATCGGTTGGCAGTTTTGAATAAAAAACCGTACAACAATTTAAAAACACCTTTGTATAGATTGGCAATATTAAAATATTGTAACTGGCCTCTTATCAATTTTCTTAAAACTCTCTTTTTTCCATGCTGCAAGCTTGCAATGTTTGAAACACTGATAGCATCGTAAAGTCGTTACTATATTGTTCGTTAGTCGTTTATTCGTTTAATTCGTAATATTGTTATTATAATTATTAATTATTTAATATGTTGTACTAAATTATTATATAATTCATATAATCTGTTAACGTTTCGTATTCGTTTTGTACGTTCGTTGACCATTAAGTATTTACAGTTTATAAATTGATTTTATTTGTCTGTTATTAAATATGGCTTGGCAGCCTAATCTGACTTCAACGGCTAAACAAAAGTCTGTTTTATACGTGGAGTATAGTAATTTAATAAAAGAGTTAGGCCATTATATGCCGCAATTTAAAGCATCGGTTAAAGATTTACAAGAGCCATCGCAAACATTTGTGACCAATTTTTACACAGAAGTATTAAATGAATTCTTCTGTGATGTGAATAATTTGACAGAGGTAATATACTAATACATTTATTCATTAAATCAAAACTTATTGACATTTATAATGATAAAAATATTTGCAACTCCCCTAGAAGCATGACTTGTAATTGGGATATTTAACATAATTTGATCAATAGTATAATAATAGTATACTAATACATAATAATATACTGAATCAAAAACATAACTATATGTAAAATCTATTGTTTTTTTTTAAATGTAGGTAAAAATATAATTTTGTGACTGGACAAATTTTGAAATAATTTTATACTTTGTTTTCAGATTCAAGTTACTCAAAATCTCAAATATTGTGATATGTATAGTGAAACTGTACCAGTATTGAATATGTGTACAGCTTTAAGATATATTTATTCAAAATTAGGAATAGATGATTTTGGTTTGAATGATATATGTGATCCAAGTAAGGTTATAATATATATTTATTATTGATTAAAAAAATATTGAATTGTCTCATGAAAGATTGATCACAGTATACATAAAGTGTGTCAATATAATATAAGGGATTAATTGTCTTAAAAGTATTAACTTTTTGGATTTTTAAGGTTCTAAAAGGACATATGGGTTACTTCAGACTATGCTGAACTTCATTAAGTACAGTGATGTTAAAATACACGATGTTGACGAAAAAATGAAAGCCATCAGAAATATGAAAGATACAATTGACAAAACAAAACAACAAAAAGAAATCATTAAAAACAGTATCAATAAAATGTTATGTGAACGTAAACAGCGAGGAATTGAAATTAAAACAGTAAACTAAATTCTTAGAAAATAACTTCTAATATTAAAAATAAAAAATTCCATTCTTTATAATTAAACTAAAATCTTTGTCAATAAAATCAAATAATTTTACAGTGCAATATTGATGTTTTCATTTAGAAGTAAAACAACAGACATTGTTTGAGCATTGTATTTTTTTTATTATTTAATTTGAACACTTTTTTTCTAATTAGCTTACAGAGGAATTGAAGATTGGCAAGTCTGAATTAATGAATATTCAGAAACGTAAGATTGAAATGGAAAATGAATTAAATAAAGTAAAACAAGAACAAGATACAATTGAGAGCAAATGTTTTAAGCTATGTGAACTAAAAAATAATGTAATTTATTTATTTTTGTTATGATTGATATTAAATAATTAATAATTAGTTTACAAAAACCTAAATATTAACTTTTCTTATCTACTATAAGTAATTAAAAACAAAATACAAATAAACCAAAAATATATAAAATGTTGTTTTAGATCATAAGAGATATTAATGCTCTCAGAGCTCAAATTGTTGAAGCACCAGATATATTGAAAGCTGATCATGAACGTCTCAAAAGGTTGAAAAATGAAGTAACTGAAAGAAAAACTTTAACAATGGCACAAATTAGTGCAAAAAAACAAACAGTTTTAATTATGGAACAAGAATTAGAAGCACAAGAAAAACGATTACGTTTGTTAACAGATGTTACTGAAATGAATAAAATTATATCGTATGTAGTATTTACTTATATTTTTATATTATAAAGTGGACAATGTTTCTGTTTTTAGTTTTTCCAATTATATTTATATTATCGACAGCAATAAACTAAAACTTATAACATTTATTTTTTCATAATTTTATGTTTAAGTTATTTAAACATTATGTTTTATTTTTGTTTAGCAAATTAACACATGATAATGAGAAAACAATGCAAAACAAAGCAGAAATAGTCGAGTCTTCTGAAATCTTGAAAGAGAAAATTGAATTTTTAGAACATGAATGTGCTGATATTAAAAATAAAATTGATTGTACTGTTAAAGACATAGAACAAGAAGTAAATTCCCTCAAGTCTAAATATGATGCATTATCTAAGTAAGTAATAATAAATAAATTATTATACATAATAATTAAGATGCAGTTATTTTAAATACATTTTGTATGAATGTATATAATGTTTTTAACTAGTATAATTTGGATTTAATTTTTAGTGAGATTACTGGTTAAGTATTTGGTATTTTTGGATATATTTTTTTATTTACATTCCAAATATTATGATTTATGATTATTGAAAATAAACTCAATTTTATAATGTGCAGTTTCTGATAAAATTTTAGATCTAATAAGTGTACTTAGAGAGGTCATAATTATAAAATTAGGGAATGTACAACACATTTTTGGTGAAATTTTCTCTTTCACATCTCCTCTGATCTATTAACTATTGGCCTCCTTGGTCCTAACTTTCCACTATGAAAAAATTAAACTCTTATTTTTAATAGTAAACAAAAATATTTGTTTCTTGTGATAAGATGTAAAAAAAAATAATAAATATTTACAAAGCTATTAATATTGGTAAACATGGTGGGACACTGTATTATGTTAAATTTAGAACCGTTCAATAATAATAATTTTAATTTGATTAATACTTGTGTTTTAGAGAAAAAGATGAAACAATAAAACAAAAAAGTTATCGTTGTGAAATTATTCAATCAATAGAAGACGAAATTAATAATTGTTATTCCCGTAAAACAGAAATTGAACTTGATGTAGCTAACATAATGCAAAATTTCAGAGTTGTCAGGGATAAATTAACACAAATGGTATGAATGAATGTTAATTTCAAAATATATTTATAATTTTTTTATATTAATTATTTTTCAGCAAAATGAATATGCAACAAGAGCATTAAAAAACAACAAAATAATATAAATCCAAGTAAAAGAATTACATTTTTTACATTATTATAATCATTTATTTTAGTTTATTTTTATACCTACCTATTTAGATATATATATTTTGTATTATATTGTTTAAATTGTATAATTAATATTTTTTTTTTAAGAAATTAACTATGATTAAATAAATAATTGGTGTTGCCATATTTTTTATTATTTAACATTTAATACTCTATTTGAATCCAATTCATTAAACAGTAAATCCATTTCAAGCAGTCTTTAACGACTACATTTCAAACCTTGACAATTTTTTTATTCATATAAATAAATTTAAATAAATTGTATCAGACCTATTTATTAAATTGTAATATAGTTGATCTAAAAGTCTGTATAATGTTTAATAAAATCAAATGTGTATAGCGTAAAATGTGTTAAACTAATTTTGGATAGATATGTTTTTGAAGACTAAAATATTAGATTTCTATTAATTATTTATTATTTCATTATTTGACTCTACTGCCTTACAAATAGTATGATCTTCCCATCAATTTACGAGAGAAATGGATTGACTAATAGTAGAGCAAGGAAACTAGTTTATGTCAAACATATTTTAAAGATATGTTTTATTAAAATGTATTATTTTTATGATATTCTCGTCCTCACGGAAATATGGCAATCTCCAACATTGCTGATTCCGAACTCAGCCTACTTGGCTTTCAAATTATTAAGCTTGACAGGAACATTGATAACAGACCCAACTTCTGAGGTAGTGTGGTGCTCATTACTGTCAAACCCAAATTCAACCTCTCCCTGTATCCCTTAACGTCAATAACGTAGAGCATCTGTTTGTTATGATCTTGCTTAACTCAACTTTTATACAAACAAGATTCACTTATCTTCCCCCTCTCTCCCCTCTGTCTGTTGTTGAATCTTACTTATCAAGTGTTGACTATCTGCTATCCACACTCAAGCCTAATGCTGTAATTTTATGCAGTAACTATAACATACCTCACGTTTCATGGTCATCTGATGCTCTTGGTCTCACTGCTTCTGATGACTTCCTTTTTAAACTTCTTCCAACTCAATTACTGTTTAAATAGCAGTGGTAACACTCTTGACTTAGTTTTTTCTAACTCTACCAAAGTGTCAGTCACCAGAGCTTCTACTTCTCTCCTTTCCCCTGACACCTACTACCCACTGCAGGTCATTTCTTTTTCTACTAATGTAGAACTTTTCGCCCAAGCAACCCACTCATTTTACAACTTCAAAACTGGTGATTGCACCTCCTTATCTCATTACCATAACTCTTTTAACTGAAAATCTACTTTTTCAGCTTACTTCATTAACAACGTCGCATCCGTCTTCAATGATGCCCTTCTCACTTCCATTAATAAGTTTATCCCATTAAAAATATATATACCACCTAAATTTCCTCTCGTTGGGTCTCCCCTTCACTCGAAAATATGATAATATCCAAGAAACGTGCTCGTCATCTTCAAATGGTCCAACCTTCCTTCTGACTATTTGATATTTTCTCAACTACATGCCAAATGTAAACGTCAATCCAAACTTGATTATTTACTTTACATAAAAAACACCGAAAGCGCTCTCTCATCCAATCCTTCTCAGTTTTCATTTCTAGAAATTCACTAAAGAGTTAAAATCTAACCCCCCAATTCCATCCACGGTTAGGTGGATTCATCTCCACGATGAATCAGCCTCTAGTCCTCTACCCCTGTTGACTCAGCCAATCTATTCTCTAAATACTTCTTATCCATTTTCAAACCTCCTTCCTTTAACCTTCTAATTTCCTCTTGGATAATTTATAACCATATAATCTACCGTTAAACTGCCACTTTAATATTGAGGATATCCTTCCTGCATTTTTAATTTTTGAAAAATAACAAATCTAACGGCCCGGACGGCAATTCTGCTCGTTTATTAAACATTTGCCGGCATGTAGTTGCTGGTCTTGTCTTCATTCTGTTCAGGTGTTCTACGGATGAAAGTATTGTTCCCGATGTGTGGAAAACCAATTCTATCACCTCCATCTTTAAGGCTGATATCCGCTCCGATGTCTTCAACTACAAACCTATTATACCCATTTTACCCCACCTAGCCAAGCTCTTTGAATCCATTGTTTATTTCTGTATCAAAATAAATTTAAATCACATAATTATAGATTCTCAACACGGTTTTCGCCCTGGTAAGTCTACAATCACCAGCGATATTTCTTTCACCACCTACATAGTAAACAGTTTTGTGGCTAATAGTCTAGTTGACATAATTTTTACTTATTTCAAAAAGGCATTTGATTCAGTAGATCATGGTCTTCTCATTGCCACATTTGACTCCCTCGGTATCAGCTATCATAACCCTCTTTACCTCCGCCACCTGTCTCCGAACTCTCTACTTCAACCTCATATGTTTCATGCTTGAGTATGGGTCGGTTATTTGGTATCCTTTCCTTTCCTATGATCAATTGGTTGAACTAGTTTAAAATAGTTTCCTATGAAAAATTGAACACGCACCTCGTGACTACATTCTTATTCGCTCTATTCTCAATATTTCTACTCTGTCCTCCCGCTATGACGCTGCTGATTTCATGTTCATCACCTCACTTCTCAATTGTACTATTAGCTCTCCCGATTTAGGTACTAACCGCTGTTTCACTTTGTGTTCCCTCTCACTACGAAATACCATTCCCTTTTCTCGGTTCCCTCCCACTTATCTCACCTTATATGGTCATAACCAAATGAATGTACCACAGAATGTTACGCCTATTCAACCAAACCTAGACGTTAGTCCTACCACTTTACCTCTCTTTATTCAATTACTTTCGCAACCTATTATCTACCTTCATATCTACACAAGTGTGTATTTTTATCAATACCCTCCGGGGCGTAGAATTATTAAATAAATAAATAAATTTGAAAATTAATCTACAACTTTAGATTTCTCTTTCTTTATATTAAAAACCATAAGATCACTCAGCCTGTTATCTACCGTTGCAGTGATAGGTTTTTAATAGGTTTTAAAAGTTAAGGGATAAAAACTGAAAAGAATCCCAAAGTATTGAACGATGAAAAATATCGAGATAAGAAGTATCAAATTTTATCTGTGTGTCAAATTTCACCCAAATTCGTTCATTAGTTTTGTTCATTGACAGGTAAAATACATTTAAATTAGCCAGTAAAATGTAAATTACAAATTAAGGTATATCTTATGTATATCTTAATTCGTGATGTAAATACATGATCTAAAGGCCCATTTCAATTACAGATTTTGGTTTGAACTACTTCAATTATAACTAATGTAAATTATTTATTGATCTCGAACTTCAAAATCAGTTAAATAATTATTTATGGTTAGTTATTAACATGAATTAAGGTATTATGCTAAGATAGAAGCTTCACGCTCGTCAAATTATACTATCTTGGTAACAAACTGTCTGACCTCTACGAAAATTAATGATAGCTGAAATAGGTGATAAGCTGATAATCTGATACCCGATAAGTGTAGAGGAAAAGTGAAAAAAAATTATTTCAATTATAGCAATATTAGCAATATAAAAAAGAATCACTAAAGGTAATGTTTTATGATGTTAAGTTTTTGTATTATACCATATCGATACTTTCGTTTTAGGTAAAATACAATGGCATTTTTAAGTCCATTTTTCCGGAACCCAATTACCGATTTTACCAGTGGATTATCGACTGCTCAAACAGGCGAACGCTGTGCTGAATTTGAAATGAATTTGATGAATTGTTATGAAGCATACGGTTATCCAAAAGGTATGGAAGTGTGCCGGGCATATTATGACGATTTTCAAGAATGTTGTACAAAAGAAAAACAGGTATATATATTTCTATAATTTGTTCCATATATTATACAACTGGTATATGGTAATTAAATTATGATATATTTCTGATATAGTTCAATAACAAAGCAAAGTATACAGTAACTGTATCATCTTTATGCTAATGTTCTAATAATTGTCAATATTTATTATTATTATTATTTTTTAATCATGTTTTGTGCAAGGGGTACACATATATCAAGGAAAATTCAATTTTTATTTTCATCACTTAATCGCTTAAAAAAATTACTTTTTTTTTCTTTTTATAATTTTCAAAATAATCATTTTGTAAAATACATTATTCTAAAAATCTGAATGTTTTATACATTTATAAATGATTAATAGCTTCCTAGCTGTAACAGCTTTAATGAGTAGAAAAAAGGTGTGAAATTAATATTGAATAGAAGATAAGGAATAACCGCGCTGATTGTGATTACTTATGATATAGTGTGTTATTCTATTGAAAATTAAAACACAGTCTACAATCTAATGAATCTAATCAATTTTATTTTTCCAATAATATAAACAAGGCGTTTAGTTTGTTCAATGGTGGTTAACTCTGTTTAAACTATACCTAGATGAGCATTAGTTCAGTAAGTTTTTTTTGTTCAAATACTCCAAATGATTACCCAGTAGAATAAGATTTAGCTTACTGTGTATTTACTAGAAAATAAATTGTAAATTATTGAATTAGATTTTTTTTTAGCATATTTTATTTTGTAAAAAAAAAATGCCCGAAGAAATGAGGGATAATTGGGTAAAGACCTTATGTTGAGAGGAAGGTTTAGTCTATTTAGATTTTTTTTTAAGAAAGGAGGGAGTGTACAGTAAATATTTACAACTTAAATGCCCTGATAGATAATAATGTTCGACTATTGTTTAATACATAGTATCTTATAGTGTTATCCCCATGCTAATAACTCTGGGGATATTTTTTTTTTCTAATTGGGTTTTGTGCGAGGAATTTTATTTCCATTCCTTAACCACTGGGAAAAAAAAAATTTATTTTTCCACTTTTTAAAATTTTCAAAATAGTCATTTTAATAGTCATACAGAGTTGGTATATGGTAATGATGGCTTTCATATCCATTTACTATTAAGATTTTTTTTTGATTTTATTTGCAATAGGTATTTTATTACAATCAAATATTAAATGCATACCTATAAAATAATATTATAGTAGATAGAAGTACAAAAACTGCATGATACATGTTATAATAGAATATCTTTCACAGATGGCTCGAATCAATGCTATTCGAATAGAACGAGAACGTCAAGCAAAAATAAATAAGGAGATTACTTACGAAAAACCACCGGCAATGCATTCATATTAGAATTTGTTTAATTGTTGGATATAGGTACAGAAATTTATACAATATAAGGATTAAAAATTAAATAAAAGTTAACATATTTTGAATTGATTAGTCTTTATTTGGCATGTTTAAATAATGTAATAAATTCATATATAGATCATATTAAAATACAATTATATAAGTTACTTGTCATTTGTTTTAGACCGTTTGCTATTAGAATATCCATCATCAGTTTTTCGTTTGTTATATCTTTTACCACCTTTGTTCTTATTTTTTTCCCTTTTCATTTTATCCTTCATGATAAGCACACCTTTCATTTCTTTAGTCATTTCATTTAATACTGTTTGTTCAATCTCTTCCTCAGGTATTGAAAAGACAATTTTTAGATCATTTTCCTTATCACCAATTTCCTCCAACAGTTCCTTAGCAGTTTTAACAGGCTTAAATCGAATCCATGCCATTTTTTGATCATCAACAATCTTCACAAAAGCTACCTCCCACTCATACGAACTACAAAGTTCTTTAATCTTGTCGACAGTAACAGATTCTTCAACATTATCCGCTTTGAGTAAATAACCTTTTTTAAAAAATTTTTCAGTTTCAGCTTTTATTTTTTCATCTTTTTTTGCTATTTTCTCTACATATTCTTTTTTTTTCTCTTCGAGAAAATCTTTTTCCCACCTTCGTTCTAATTCAACACCATTGTATTTAACAGACTTTTGATTTAAAAAAATTTCAGCCTGCTCTTTAGTACTAAATGTAAAATAAAGAGAACCTTTGAACTCTTTGGTTTTGAGTCTTCGAGGAGTGACTTTTGTAATGTTTTTATCGCCAAAGGTAGCAGCAAATTCCAAAAGATCGTCCATAGTGGCGGTTTTAGGAAAACCTTTACAATAAATAGACCTTTCAATCATTTCATTCAAGAATTCTTGATCTGCAACTGGTACAACTTGATCAGGTTTACGTCTGATTTTTTCATTTGTTTCATCAGTTTCTAATAAACTATTAGAAGCATTTTTAATCGCAGAAGCAACAACCACTTTGTCATTTGAAATATTTGCTAATCTTTTGAATGTCAATAATACACTGATTTTCACCCAACCACCGTCAGTTTTAATTTCGTTTTGTAAAAATTTGTCGTACGGCAAATTAGCATCACTGAAATAATATTCAAGCTGCTTGACAATTTTCGCATCAATTTGTGGCTCAGAAATTATTGGTTTATCGATTTTAACTGTGGGTTCCACAGTTTCAGTTACGGCTGCAGCTGCTGTAGGTTCCATTTCAATAGTTCCATTCTCAGTCTTAACGTCAGGTTCCATACTATAAGTGGATATCGGTAACTATAACACATTATAAAAAAAATATATTAAAACCCATCTCATAAAATACCTTTTCTATAAATATATATATATAAAAACAGATGTATTTGTATACAATTAATAGACTCAAAAACAACTGAAACAATTTTTATGTTGCGTTTTGCAAAATAGTTTGTTATCCAGAGAAAGTTTATAGCTATTGAAATCCACCTCGGAATTATTTCAGTTTTGATACAACCAGATTTTTAAATTTTTTGTTCAAAATTAGGGATTTAACGTTTTAAAAATAATGGTGCAAACAAAAATGGCGCTTATTATTATTAGTTTTAAGGTTATGGTAATAATTTTATGTTGCTTTTTTTTTTGTAAATACTATAGTGTGTTTTATTAAACAAATCAATATTGCATTCCTTTGAACATTGGTTGTCACAGCTTAGAGGCAATGCAAGTTTGTTGACTGTTAACATTCCACAACTCCAAAGTTAGAACATTTATTTAGATGATTTTGTATTGCAGTTTTTCCCCAGTATTTTAGATATCCTGCCAGGACAGTAAATAATACCAGTTTAATAAGTTCTGTATCTTCAAAAGCTTAAATTTTGGATATTTACAATTTGTTTCAGAAATAATTTTTAGCCATTGGGTATTTTGTTATATTTATAAACTTTTTCAAGCAGATAATTTTACATTTATATAATTTCTAGTCGCCATAAGTACCTAATCTAATCGTATATTATTATTATTAACCGTGGTTGTGATACTAAAAAATGACTGTTATTTCAATTGTTTTTTTTAATTTAATAAGAAGAAAAGGGATGATTAATGTTTTATTAGATATGGATATAATACACAAAGAATTGAGATTATCATAAAAGGTATAATCCATAAACAAGTAATAAAATTTAATTATATGTTATGTTCTGAAAAAGAATTGATTTGATAGTTAGGTGGGTATACCTACTAGTATAATAGACGAAAAAAAAAATTTTTACAGGAGGCAGTAATAATTTGTATAATCTACTAATATTTAGATTGTTAAAACATTCCAATAATTTAAATAAAATAACAAATATAAAAGAAAATTTTGGGAGTTGTGTACATGCCCCTTAAAATTGAATGTCCCGACTTCTAATTTGAAATAAATAACAGCCCTATTGTGCAGGTATCTATGGTATTAAATGAAACTGTCATAGATATATCTTTGAATCTATACATTTTTTGCTATTGTTACACTAACAGGACTCCAGTAACATTAATAAACAATAAGCGTTAGAAATTATTTGGAATACATAATTATTTAGTAACATAATTATCTAAACATTGCTGGATAGTTAGTAATGTTTAAAGATAATAGGTAGGTGATTGAAAAGTACATACCTAATGGTCGAAATATACCGTTGCAATTAGTAGACAAACAATTACGTTTAACAGTCAGCAATTTTCAAAAATATATGCTATAATTTACTGATGAATGTCACTTCACGTACTTACCATTCAACACCACAGCAGAAAAGACTAAAAAGTCAGATAAGGACCTCTAGGTATTTGAATATTGATGTTTATAAATGAAGTTTATTTAAACACGGTTACACGAACACGAGTACAGATATGTGAACAATGAACACGAGGTTGACTGATAACTGATTACGACTAATTTGAGGTTAGCAGTCATGGTGATAGCAACTGTCCGACAAGAATTCGGTATGATAAGAATTCGGTTAAGAGACCCAACCTAAAATCTTCCGGGAAAAATAAAGATCAATTATTATATTTAGCTTAAAATCATGAGGATATTGAAAACAGCCTAAATTAAAAAAAACCACGAACTAAGATACTTCGTGAAAAAAACAAACATTCAAATCTATACAGGCTGTCTACGAAGATGAATATCTCATGAATATCTCTGGAGATAATAAAGATAGTAATCAAACTCTGATTTTTTTATATTACTCACCGAGATGAGGACTACAAATATTTATATTTGAACTAAATTATTTTATTATTTTAAATTACTTTATTTTATTATTTTAGGAACACTTTAAGATAACCATTCTGTAGAGTTTATCTTCCGAAAATTTTAATGTATCACACATTTATATCTGATGAATAGTTTCTAAGCAACAGCTATTTTAAATTCTACTAATTCTAGTGAAAATCAATGTTGTCTAGGGAATAACTTAATCGCGTTACGCGATAAAAATTGTTTTATAATATATCTGTGGGTCTTGGACCATATACTAGTATACTAAAGAAGTTTATAATCTAAGCTATAGGTACTGTCTAGATATCCAATTATTACTTCATCAATAACCAAACATCATAACCATAAACACTATAGAAATGTTCTAATCATAATCAGGTTGGATTAATTCAAGGATTATAGACAATTTCGTTTGATTATGGTATTTCAGTAACCTATAAATAAAAGTTATAACCAAACATAGAGTAATAAAGAAGTGGCATTTAATTGTAATATTGAAGCGTAAACAAACAAGATTTGCAGCGTAGCCATTTGAAAAACTAAAAATACTGTACTATTTATTTTTTTATGTAGCATTGTCCTGAATAGTCTGATACCCCAGTTTTCTCGGAGTGATAAGAGGAAAATAAATTAGAGTTTAACTTATTGTTTAAGACCACAACACATAAACCATTTCACCGACATTAAATATTGAACGATTAACGTTTCTTAACTAAGATTTTTATTTGTCATGGTTCTCACCACCACCACTCCCAACAGCAGGACCGGTTCAAGCGTTTAAATTTGGGTTCAAATATTGTAAAAATAAAATAATTTTTTTTATTATTATTTATTCCTATTTACTAATTATAAATCAAAAGCTTCATAAAAAATTTTATTTTTGCAATTTTACTGTTGTTTTCAGATATTGATTTAGCAGTTTAACTTCTATTACAAAGAAAACAGCTAGGCATTTTTTAACGATATATTGTATCAAGTAAAAAATAAACAAAGTAAATAAATATGTAAATAAAAAATGTATACATAAAAATTAAATAAATAGACGAATCAATGCGTCGCCTGGAGTATTATGATAAGTGTATAATACGACTGGTTTCGAATTAAAAATTCATCGTCATGTATATCACAGTCAAATTGTATAACGCGACTGCATGCATTGCAACTAGAACTTCACTTATCACACGTTGGTTGGGTATCCTGTAAATCTTAATTCGTGAACCGAAATAATAATCAAAACCGCCTAAATGACTTAATTATAAAAAATACAGTAACCAGGTTATATTTGGTTATTCACCTAATGTAATATATATACAAACTGTGACACCCCATAAAACCACCCGACATAAAGTCACCAGATAACGACAAATTCAAGAGAAATTTGACAAAACACCATCTTTACAATCCGATAAAAATCCATTAAACAGTACTATCACACCAACAGAATATTAAGGTATACATTAGACAATATCTAAATATCGTCAAAAAACCACCAGACAAGGACCCAAGCGACACAAAGTCCCATGAACATATGATAACAGATAACACTGCAAAACCATATACCGCATTTATACAAATGATAAGGAGCGCATAAAATTCTTTATTTTGTACAAGGTTTGTACAAACCTTGAATGTACAAATCTTGAAAAATAATTTTCTATCACTCTAGTGTTAGCAACTTTTAAATCAAAAACATATACGTCCGCGACCAAATATTTCATAAGAAGCTTAAGAGCAGGGGCGTCTACTGACCTTGATTATGAGGGAGGGGGCGAAATAGTTAAATTTAATATTAATAATTGATAAGAAAAAAAGACAAACACATCTCGCACGATGGGTGGACCACTGTTATAGATGAGAAGTTGGAATGATAGGATATTAAGGGAAATTTAATGTTTACTGTACCTAAGCAAATTTATGCATTGCTAACAAAAACAATTCTAAGTGAAGCTCGGTTAAGAGCTCAGGGGCTCTCGGGTCAATTCCGTGGGGGGTGAACAATAATCCTGAATACCACCACTTTGGTCAACAAAACTTAGAACTTTTATGTCTGATGTCATTTCAACTTGAATTAACTTAGATGACTGCAGATATATTGTACAAATGCAGTAAAACGTTATAATTTAAAAGTTAAATTTATATTTTTCACATTTAATAAATAATGATTAAAATAATGATAATATGAATAACAAAAATAATAATAATAATAATAATTAATACAAGTTAGATGACCAAGTTCAAAATACTTTTATTTTAAACAGCGTTTTACAAGCGGTTTGATTAACAATATTTTCTATACCTATTAATGTTTTCATTTCGATAAATACCTAATTAAAAGTGATAAGCCAGTTAGCCTCTGTTCAAAATTCTTTTATTATTTTATCACATAGTACGACTTTTAATGAACCTTATGTTAAATTCTCAAGCATTTCTATTTGGTCTAAAAATTTTAACCACATAGTACCTACCGAATAAAAATTACGTACAAAACTCGTGAAATTAAAATGTCTTTTAATTGCTCAACATTTTTACCACACCAGAAAAGGCAAATATAAGTTTCTGTTCAAATTTCATGTCTCTACGAATATTTTAAATTGAATTAAAACAAAAAACAAAATTGAAAATAATAAAAGCATTATTTTCGTAAATTATTCCGTTTTTCTTACGTTTTACTTAGGTTTTTCTGATATTATGAAAACTGCTTGGAAAATCAAAAAATGACAATCCTAAAGTACAATCTAGTTAATATGATATTATTTTCTTTCAAAAAAGGTGTAACACTTACATATTGAAGCAAGATTTCTGGTTGACATTTTTATCACAGTAAAAAAAAAAAAATCATTGTAAATCTAACAGGTACATTTTTCGCCACATTCAGACCCTAAAATTTAAACTAAAGTAATCACTTCCAACTTTGATTCTAAAAATATATTATTTTATTATATCTTTGCAAATTGATTGTTTCCACTTAGTTTTCCATAATTCTATCTCACTCTTGAGAGAATATTTATTGAAATTTATAAATGAGAATTATACCCTCATGTGCTGTCTCAGTCCAACGGGAAATTTAGCAATATCTACCTTACGCATACTGCGTAGAACTCGCTTAATTTTGATTTTAGAGTAATATTAAAATAGGCTAATATTTCGGTTAGGAAAGTGATGCTTTTCTTTTTAAAATTCATTTTTTGAAATGTTACAATCATTTAAAAATGATAAATTAGTCTTAATTTTTAAAGGATGTATTGAACCTTATACTCGGAATGTGGTTAGAATTATAAGAAAAACGTAACGTCTTGTTCTTCGAAATATGGTTTTCTTTTAATTTTAAATTAGATGATTTTTATTATAAAACCAAAATTAAGTAAGTTCTATTCAGTTTGTGTAAGGTAGATTTTGCTATAAGGCCCATAAGTTATGCCATTGGACAGAACATGCGAAGAATATGACGTCATCTTAACTTACAGATGGAGTTTCCTTCACTACGGTATTGGAAAAAAAACAAGAAATGCCTGGTTAAAACCGCGTTTACCATAGTATATATTGCTTTCTTCGTTATCATTGTCCTCAACATCCGAATCACAACTATATACCTAAATCTAAACTTGGTTGAAATTAGTAATATGTGATCATATTATTATGTAAATAAAATCTGTAATTATTTTTATAATAATATAAAATAATTTATATAATAATAATAACGTTTTATATGTTAATGTATATCTGTACACACCGATTAAACATTGCTAACGAAAACTATTCTGAGCGAAGTTTGGTTGATAATGTTGCTTTTTCAATAATATATTATATGTTATATTATGGTAAAATAATTAAATATGCATTAAATATTTGTTTAATATTGTGCTTTTTTCTCATTTTTCAGTTTTCCTACGTTTTTTCCCGGTTCTCTCAATTCATTAATTTATTAGGAAAACTCCTGGAAAAATCAAAAAATGACCTCCTTAAAGTACCTCCCCAGTCAGATTTCCTCTTAGAAAAAGTACTATCATTGTACATCTGAGCAAAATTGTTAGAAGAAAAGTTATACAAGGAAAAAAAATAATATATAAACAGCATTGTAAAACCATACGTTTCTTCGCTCCATTCAAAATCTAAAAAAAATATATATCACTGTAAAACCAATACATTCCCCACTCCGCTCAGAATCTAAAATTGTTCTGTCCTGCATCACCATTAGTTAATTTAAGCTACAAGGCTAAAGGATTTTATTTATTTTCTTGGCTAATGTAAATTCGACTTGAAATTAATTTTTCACTGGTGGTGCCATGGTGGGGTTGCCATGTTAACCAAATTATTCTCCTCTTACAATTTTTCCAATAGTTTTTCCTCAAACTCATTTTGTTATATAACTCGAGTACGTTTTTATTAGTTATTGAACTGTGTTGGTTTTTCTAAAATAACTTCTGTAATTACTTAAATTATATTAGTAAATTTCTTCGTTTTAAATATTAAGCAACATTAAATTAATTCTAGCAGTGAAGCTGAACATCGACATATAAGGTGATCCATACTTATGCCTAATGTTGTATTTGATAAATTTCGTTATTTGTTATCAAAATTTTCCATTGTATATGGTTATTATGCGGGTATCTGTGGTAATAGCATATAATGATAATTTATTTATGAACTTGATTTAGAAAGTTTTTATTACACGGGCAAAGCCTTGCAGAAATATAATTAAAATCGTACAATTATAGTTCCTTATATAATAATTTATTTTAAACTTATTTCTATCAGTTTATAATTAACTGTTAACTGTTATAATAGTATTTAATTAATTCCCTATTTATAACACAAGCTTTAAACCTAAAAGAAGTAGTTAAATCGAAAAATGTATACTAATGTATTATATTATGCACATATCTTTTATTTTTGTAACCGAGTGTGAATGTGTAATGCTAAGCTTAATGAAATAGACCAGTAAAACTTCCAGTCTGTTAGTTTTGATCGAGATTATTCTGCCATTTCGCCATTATAAAGAACTAATAATGACTCTATGTCAACGCATAATGGAAAATAATTTCTCAGAAAATAAAATTATGGATTCTAAAACATAATTTGTTTCATAATTTTATTTTTCACAGATAATTCAAATAAATTTTCCAAGTAATTTACTCTTTCAATATTTTGCGGAAGTGTGTATACAAATTAACGAAAGCATTATAGGTTTTTAAATTTATAAATATAAATGTATTTATTATTATTTGTTAAGCATTATTAGTTGGCTAGATTTGCGTGTTAGGTATCTTTTTATCTAGCGTTAAAAGTAGGTAGGTAAATTAAACTAAATAGGTAAAATGATGCAAGTACAAAAAATATAGATATATCTATGTATATACAATATACATACATACATATAAAAAGTTAATACGTGAAATATTTGTACTCTATACAATATCGAACAATACGTTTATAATTAATGCTTAAAATCTATTACGCGTTCACGTGTATCTATAAAATATATTAATTTCGTTTTGAACTGTTAATTAAGTATTTGCAACAATGCGTGAGAAGATGTTTTTCCCCGTTTACGTTGCCGTTGGAGTGACGGTGATGGTTGTTTTCAGCATCAGATTTGAGAGACGATATTTCTCTGGTGTATACGTCCAAACCGTATTGGCCTTCCTCCGGAAACGCGATTAAGAACGTTATAAAATCGTCCATGATTGTGTGCGATATGTATTTCGACAACCGTTTTTCTTCCACACCGTTTTTATGTAACGTGGCCATGAAATCCGTCAAAGGTTTTGACATCCTGAATTGAATTTCTAATTCACGGCCAGAAAACACTAGTGGGTCCTACGGTTAATAACAAAACAAAAAGAGATTATAAACTAATTGATTTACAGGCACATAAAATAATATATTATCAAATTAGATTTCCTATGCTCAGTCTTTTTAATAAAGTTAAAACTGCAAGTACATTTTGTAAAAGTATTCCGCTAAAAAACATTTTCTGCTATTTTTTAGAACATTTTGCGATACTTTTTAGGACATTTAAATTCAAGTCTTCGTTATAGTATTTGAAACCTTACGTTAGGAGATATTTAACAGTGTTGCTGAACTACCCTATTAAAAGGTTTGAAATAACGACATTTCATAATTACATCCGCTTATAAAATATTTATGTGGTACTGATTACTACAGAATAATAGCGAATAATATCGATAGTGTTAAATTTAAATTAATTAATTAGATTTAATTAAAATTTCATCTGTAGGTACCTATTCAGTTATTTTTTTAGTGCGGGGACATATTAATGTTTGATTTAAAATAAACATTCATACCATATTTAATAATTGAGTATGAAATTAGATTAAACTTAACATTAACTAATATATTATTGTACTTTTTATAGGTGTTTATAATAATATAGGTATTTACATTATATTATTTTTTTCTAAAATACAATATCAAATCTTTGACTTTAGATAAATATTTATCCTATCTATAATCTATATACGTGTAGGTACCTAGTAATTAATATGAGTTATCCCTAAATAAATTACATTTTTCTATACATTGGTAAACAAATTACTCAACTATTTTTTTTTTTTTTTTAATTTTGTATTATTAGTTTCGACAATTAGGTATTACGAAAAACATAAAGTGAACAATATAATAATTAGTTAAAAATAGAAGAGGAGAATATAAAATTAAATTAAAAAACCTGTGTGGTTAAAAAATGATATTACGTTCAGTATGATATTTTTTTTATTAGTTTAGGAGAATATTTTTGATGCCAAAAGTGATGTACTCAACTATTTAATTTTTTTATTAGTTTTTAGAAATAATTCATAAGAAAATGATTTTCAAAATTGTTCATACACCATAATGTTCGTTTTTTTTTTGTGATTGTATTAGTATTGTCACCGAAGATGATACAAAAAAATAATAAAAGATCATTATTTTCAGTTTTTATGCTGGAATTGCTACAGATTTTATGAAATATTATAATGTATTAGTAATATTAAGAAAGACGGACGTACTTCGCATTGCGGCTGAGTCATTGCTGTAGGCGATAAGTCGGGAAGGTAAGATATAGAGGGAAATTTTACTACAAAATATGACTTATAATGTATTATAATCTGTTATTAAAATATCAAGCATTTCTGTTTAGCCTAATAATTTTATTTACAGAGTACCTACTGAACAAAAATTACGTAAAAAACTTGTAAACATAACATGCCTCTAAAATTTTACCACGAAAATGTTGCCCTAGGCAAATATAAGTTGTCTGTACAAATTTCAAGTTTCGACAAATAACCGAATACAATAAAAAAACAAAATTGAAAATAATACGTTTCGTAAATTTTTCCGTTTTCCTAATTATTATGAAAACTTCTTGGAAAAAAACAAAAAAAATTGTAAAACCAATACATTCTTCGCTACGCTCCAAATCTAAAATGATGAAAAAAAAATCCATCACACCACTCGAACAATCTTCTTTTCAACACAGTGAATGACAAGATCAAGGATTTCTGTTTGAAAAATGAACCCGTTGATGGTAGCAGTTTTGTCACAGATGAATGTAGTAACATACGAATTATAAAAACGATGCTTATTCACAATTTCACAGTACACACTATAGGTACCACACTACCACCCACCACTCTACCCACCTAACTCAAGAAAAGGTGTGACCACTGTCAAAACCTTTATAGCGTATTCGGCGCCACTATGTAAGCCACTAAGGGGTAATATACCTGATGTGATATAGGTATGAGACCAAAGAGTCGTGTGGCTTTTGTAGGGCCCCACTCGCCGCTCGCGCAGTCCGGCAACGGTACCATCACGGTTTGCAGTTCTTCGCAGATTATTTTGAATTTGCACACGCTTTTGAACTTCATCGGCTCTCCGGTCAAATATTCTTTGGGCGTCACCGAATTGGCGAATATGTCCAACAGGAACGCGCCGCTGTTTGGCGCGTGCACGCGGAATGACACAATATTTCCCAGGACAGACTTCAAATAAAAAAAAAAAAAATAATAATTTCCTATAGGTTGTATTATGTGTATCAAGGTGTACACGCGAGTAAATTAAATTTAAATTTAAGTTAAAAAGAAATGCATTGTAATTTTTGCAAAACATTCATATTATTATACATTATAATGTGTATATATCATCATACCTGCATGACGAAACGCTTCAAGCTCACTCCGTCGTAGGTGTCCCCTTCGCTTTCGTAGAATTTCAAATTGTAGTGGAATATCAGGTTGGATTGCATGTTGGTCGGTATTGCTATTCTCACCGTAGCGGCGCCTGGAGTTATAAATACATTTTGTTTTTAAGACGGGAAAAATTTATTTTGATTATAATAGGTGGTTAATTATGTATATATATATATATATACAAACATCCTCAAAGTTTTTTTTTTTATATCTATAGGTATATAACAAGTCGCGAGTGTAAATAATTAAGGAAATCGTACGCAGAAAGAAGTTCACGGTCAATGTAAAATCACTGGATATATGGAATATATAATATCCACCTGCTTATTAGAACTTGACTTATAGCAAAATAATTATCTTGACATTAATAATTGCAACTGCGTTAAGCGTGCACGATGAAACCATTAACTAATTTGAGAGCATACCTATTATACTATAATAGGTATGCTCAGGTAGAGAGTGTACCTAACCATGCGATTTGTAATCTCTTTAATGGTTAATTAAAAATATAAATTTATATTTGACGAAGAGTATACAACTTATTTTTATTATTATTATTATACCTATTACCTAACTTAAATAATTTAATCATTTTGTGATGCGCATAATATTTGAATTTATAAACCGCCAACATATTATAGTCCAGCTAAAATGAATATTAATAATAATTACCACACGTTATGATTTGTTACGAATACAACAAAAATTTAAAACACATTAAAAACAAATAGATCCCTCGCTACGCTTCGAATCTAAAACAAAAAATATTCACGAGTTGTTTATTTGTAAATTCGCGTTTTACGTATCTACACGCTATACCTACCTACATCGAAAACGCTACAAGTCGATGTCATACGAAATCTACTGTATCGTTTTAGAAATCTGATTGGTGGCGTTTTTTTTTTTTTTTTATAGTTTATACATATATATATAATATACCTATATAGGTGTATATATTATACACTTGCTAATTTGTAACGCTTTTCCATTATAGAAATTGTTGATTTGACGAAAGTCGTATTAATTGCGTGACATTCGACAAAATTCAGTGTACCGTGTTGCGAGACCACATTAATTTACATAATTTTTAATAATATTATCAGTATAAGAGTTTAGACTTTAGAGCATAGATATATTAAGATCATCGTTTTATAATGTCTATATGAGTTATAGATACCTATAATGGTTGTATAACTACATGTATAAGGGACGTACACGAAAATAGTTTTGGGGGACGTTTTTAAAAATCAGTTATTGAAAATTATAAGTTTTTTTAGATAAATATAATGTGTAACCCAAACATTTCGGGGATGTCAGAACATCCAAAACACTACCTGCGTAAGTGCCAGTACTATAAAATATTATAAATCCATTATGTTGTTAAAATGTATTGGGTATTTTTAACAATATCAATGTTTTATAATAATGTATGTAATTGTTAATAGTGTATTTTACCTGTTGCATCTGTGTACATAACAGCCTTCGTATTTGAGTCTGGGAAATATAGGCCGTATCTGAAGAACAGAGACCTGACGAACGGTAAATCTTCAAAGTCTCGTTGAGTAATAGGATTTTTGAGTAACTGCCATTCGGGTTGCAACGGGAAAAATTCATAGATAAACTCTCTAGGATCCGTCAGGAAGTAATGATCGTCATATTCATATCTGCGTGAAAAATTATAAATACATGTAGACAAATTCGGTAGAGTAACTGAACGTTAAATCGAAGATTTATACACTTAGGTTTGGTTAGGTTAGGTTTGTTGTTTACTGGTAATTTTTGTTAAATTTGAGATTTTATTTAACCAACTGAACTTATTAACTATAATCTTTTGAAATAAATATACTATTTTCTACAATTTTGTACATCACCTAATGCAAACAAATAGTTAAAATAGGCACCAGTCATCAAAAATTGTTACAGATAGATAAACTCGATAAGCGTTTTACAATGGACAGTCTTTCTAATCATAACTAATACCTATAATATAGAAAAAATACTCTGTTCCTCGCAGAACATTTTTTTTTATTATAAATAAATTATTATTTACTATTATTGTTACTTTAATAAAATGCTTGTTATTTCTTTAGATAACTATTCTTGAGAGGAAAAGCCACTCACTGATGCTAATCAGTTATCTAAGGATTTCATTTTATTTTAGCCGCAAAGTAGGTAGAGACAGACAAAATTTAATTTTCAATCTTTTAAAACTAGAATAAAAAACGTACACAGTACGTCAATAAATTGATAACAATTAATTAGTAATTCATAAATGAGTTTTAGTTGGGAATTAAAACATTTGATATTTAGTAGGTTAACAATATAATTACGGATAATAAAATCAGCTATTTATTACGTATTTGTATAATATTTATATATATAAAAAAAAATTCAAACCTGAGACTATCGGATTTCCCTTTGGCACCCACTTTGGGCACTTCTTTGGCGTTAACTAAATGCCGTGCACCCCAATTGCATTGCACGAAACGCCAAGCTCCGGCTACGTAAACAGCGTTCCACGAGTTTCGGAATCGACTGTCTTCAAAATGAACGCCAGGCTGGTAGCCTGCCGACTTTGAGTAACCCTTGATGACGACGCAATGTAAACCAGCGTAACTGCACGAATCAAATGCATATAATTAATATAATAAAAAAAATAACGGAACGTCATCATTCATCGTTATAGTATTCGAAAAATAGTAAATTAAAGAAAAAATAAATAGAAATTGTATTAAATTCAAAATATTGTGTTTTGGATTGAAAAAATGTCGAAGTAAATTTGTCTTCAATAATATAACTAATAATATTGAATAGTTTGATCACCCACCTGCATAGTCGTTTGAATAGCACATGGTAACTTTCAGTTCCGTGTTTAATACCTCTGAGTAAACCCATTGGTGTGTCTCCTCTCAGATTATCGTCGAAATTCATTGTGTTTAAGTTTTTTACGGTTATCCATCGGAAAATCGTTCTAAAAATCAAATACAATGGTTTAATATTAATCGGTTCGGCCGATGTATAAAATATTATTGATTACTATTAAATGATTAAAACAAAATGAATCAAATAAAAAATATCGTCAAGGATAGTTGATCGAGTACCTATATTTGAACTATTCAAATATTTAAGCCTTAAATATTTAAATAACATATTTTTAAAAATTGTATAAGTATCAATTAAGAAAAACTAATAGTTTCTGTAAAAATCATATTTAAATTATATTGCTTATATAATAATATTAGTGTTATCTATTGTTAATATAATTAAAGTAAATTGCGTTTTTTTATACGGTTATTTCTTACCTGGCTTTCTCTATATCTGAACCACATTTTCCAACTAACATCCTTACTAAGTCTGTAAAAGTCTTTTGGTCTTCTTGGGCTACCTATAAAACATAATATACAGTTTCATTTCACTGAACTATATTAACTACCTAACTATAAATATATGTTATTTACTATTACAAGTCATAATTATTTAAATTCAAATATCTAAACATTCAATTGTTTTCGAATTGATTTCATCATTATCTGTAAATTCTATACATGCGAAGATAATTATTTAAATTACATGTATATTATACGAATCTAACTACGTCATACTAATTAATTTAAATTAAAAAGAAAATAAATTTAATATACGATTTTATAATATACGAGCATACAAACAAGGATTGACTACAGTTCTAAAAGTATAATACAAGCGAAATTATTAATCTTTAATAAATCTTTATACAAGTGTAGTGCCTTAGTAGGTAATAAAAATTAACACACCAAACTATTGTCAGATTCGTTTAACACGTTTCGATATTTGTAGACTTAGAAATGTAACGCTAAACGTTATTGTACCTATATATTATTGTCATTGAAAACTACCGTTTTGAATCGAATAGAAAAAAAAAACGGTTTTAATAACGGAAATCATGGTTTGTGAAAGATCATCATAGTCTATTAACAGCGTTTTGTCACTTTTAGCCTTCTTAAAATATGGAAAATTCAGCCATGACACTACTGAATATAGTTTTCTTCCTTTTTAAGATCGACGTTTCCTTATTAAACCGTAAAAAAAAAAATATACTAATATCGAATATTTGTAAATATTATTTATTGACGAATTACTTCGAGTTATATGAGTTATTCGAGTTATACACGAAATAATGGACGTAATTATTTAGGGTCATTATAAAAATGAATTAATTTACAAATTATTATTTTTTTTTACTTTTTTAAGCTCTAAAAATCATTTAAGTTTTTAAATTTTAACTTTCTTTAACCCACTGACAAGTGTAATTTCTTTTTCAAATAATATAACAAATTCTGAATTTATCACATAAAACACTATACAGATTGTGTCCTACAGTGTCATCCATATGGTAAGAACTCTGTCAATATTCATTTTTTTTCTCAATTGGGTCTTGTACGAGGAGGCCACATATATAGACAGAGTTAAATTTTTATTTTCATCCCTTAATCACTGTACATCATTCATGTGGTGGCGCGGCGTGTGGCGTCTGACGAACATTAAGCATTTCAGAACCGACATGTATTGAAACTAGAATTTCATTTGTTTACGGAATTTCTAATATAGGTTAGTATTTAAGTGAGTAGTGGTTTCACCCGCCCTCTAAAATAAGTATGAAAAAAATAACGGTCAATACGTAACAATTTAAATCTGTTTTTGTATCCGTAAATTGCTTATTCTAAAAATCAAATTTCGAAAAAATGTAGATACTTTTCCAGATAATGAACGTTGTTCGTTATGGTAATCACCCTGTATATTACTTACTGATATGGCGATCTGGTCAATGTGCGCAAACTCTAACGGGTCCGAGTACAACTGAAACTTTGCATGGGCCACGCCGTGTGGAGACGGCGGTAACGGCGCCTTGCCCGGGTACGGTTGTACGTTTTCGTTGAGTGCCTCGGCCGTCTCGTCCGGTATCGTCGAGTCGTCCAAGTACAGCGATTCGGCCATCATGTACTCACTGCGCTTCTCATTGATCAGCTCCAGCATTTCGCTGCTTTGTTTCTCCACCAAAGCCGCCGTGGCCGCTCTGCAAAACGACCGGCGATTTGTTAATTAATCAATGTTATTTATTTATTTAATTTATATTTATTTCGTTAATTTGCCAATTACTACAGAATAACAGGGAAATATCATCAATTGCAAATACGCGAGAGACAAAATATAAACAAAACACGTAAATACGGTTTACATACGCGCACCACGCGTAGGATATGAGCCAAATTTAATTGGTTAATTCGCGCGGTCGCCAGTCACACTCACACACAATATCGGTCAGCTTGGTTATGACATTCGGGTGGTCTAAATTTATTGTGTTACGCACCCCTTATCGTGTAACGAGTAATGACGTTACGTTATTATGTTAAACATAACGATTACCTATAGGGTAGATAGAAAAAAAAAACGTATCATAGTAAAACCAAAACATTCATTGCTGTGCTCAAGTATCTAATATCACAGGAGCGAGTAAATGTCATAGAAACTGGTATATTAATATTAAAGAAATTAACTATTGTTACGTGTTATTCTGTGCCGTATTATAGGTACATATACGAGGTATATAGGTATATACAGCCCCATATTGATGAATTTTCTTACATTATTAGTAAATATACATTGATATTTTATTGGTTCAGCTATAAAGGATCATTTATTTTATTGTTATTATGTTCTTTTGGTAATTAACAAAGTGTGTAATAATCACACGTACAATTATTTCACGTACCTATACTTAAAGGATTTCAAGTACTCAATATAGTGTAATCATATAGATGTTGGCCTTAAAACTATAACCAATATAAAATATATAAACGAACAATAAAAACGTGATGAAAATCAAGTAAACTTGTTGAAATGCATGCATTGCATTCACACAGTGTAATAATATTATATAAATGTGCTAATCTGTTAAAAACGAGTTTCTTTTCTAGCTTTACCATATTTATGTTATTGTGACGGTCCACTGTCTAGCGGAATATTTCAAGATTATCAAACTGATGAACCAATACACTTGCATGTATATACAGGTATTGTGTAATATTAAATAATATGGTGTCGCATTTTATGCGATCATTTATATTTTTACCGTACTCACGTGAATTCAGTGGCGGTTTTTGATCTTTTTTTCTGGGGGCGAGGGTATTTAATATTAACATACAACAATTATTTACCCAATATTTATCAATTTATTTTAATTAACTTACACACCGATTATTTTTTTAATTACCTAAATTAATAAACCTATTTTTTAATCAACAAAAAACTATACATTTAATTTTAAAATTATAACACAAAATCTACTTTCCGTAATCTAAACTCGGGGTCTGGACCCCCCGTCCAGAATCCCTGGACGCTCCATAAAACCGCCACCGAGAGAATTGCTTTTATTATTTTATATTTGATGAAAAATGTTCGTATTAAAATATTTTCGTACAACGGTACACGTACACACTAGAACGAAAACACAAATGTACACTAGTATTTCGTCACCACCATATTATATTAAAAGAAAAACAATCGGGTGGTTTCAACGATGATATAGGCTCGGTTTAAAACGACTAGATAGTCAACTGTATATGATAGCAGTGGTGGCAGTGATAGAGGGAATAAAGGAACAGTTTTATCCATGGAGACGCTTCTGAGGGATCAAAACGCAAAAGTATCATTTTACACCCACAAATAACAGATAAAAATATTAAACAAAGAACTAGTAGATGCATATATATTATGTAGCATATTATTCAATGTAACATTTAGACAGCGTAATGTGAAATTTTAATTTGATAAAACAGAGGAGAGTTAGCGAGTGCTGGTCACCTAAGCGGGAATTGAAATAATATCTTCGGAACTAGAAGTCCGAAAATGTTTTTATTTTTTAAATTCAAACCATAATATTATTCGACATTATATAATTAAGTTTCGAAAGTTTAAAATTAACCAAAATAGTTTTAAAAATAAATTTCAGATGATTGCTAATATCTATATAATGGGGTAATAATAACGTCGTTAAAAATGCATGCAAAATATAACGAAATAATACAAGTTCCATGGAACTTTTAAAAATTATGTTTAAAATAATTTAATTATTTTCTGTAGTATACTGAATGGTTTTGCCCCATACATTTCGACCAACATTAACCAATAACCGATCATAATTAATTTTGTAATTTGGACATATTCTTAAAGTTGATTAAGTATAATTTTAGTTAGTTTATCAGATTCGGTTTTCTAATTGTTTTATATCCCTATCCATATAACAGACACGAAACTATAACTGAAATTTCAGCTAGTATAATATACCTAGGTAAATACGAGTGAATAATGCAACGAATGCAGCGGTGTAATTATACGGTATATACAAGGATATATGTATACAATATGGTACATTTAAAATTTAACAATATAAATAGATGATGACCGTGTTCGTTTTCGATTGTATTCTAAGTCTAACTGCATGTACCGCTTTATATATTGTTATTAACATTTTAATTCGATTCAAATTTGTGCCGCGCAATTTATTTATGACGTATAATGACATTAATTAATCAACAAATAAAATTAAACAAATGTCCTGCAGGAATATTAATAAGCAGCAGAAACATAGACACGTACCTACATTATAATATTGTATACGCATTGTTAATTGTTAATAACAAAACGGCGATGCTATACGACGGCACAGACGGCCTCCAAATGAAAACATTAATCGGTTCTGGGCGACTCGCGACAGAGCTGCGGGTCGTATCGTTTATGTCGATGAATGCGTGCCTGTATGTATATTATTATAATTATCTTACCATTCAATATTCATACAGGTAGGTAGGTTTATATACGTGTTGTATTGTACAGTTTTGTCTATATGGGATATCGGCGATCGTATGATAGATATTTACAGTATACACAATGTTAAATTAATTGTATCTCAAAGGAGATAAAAATGTCGCACATGCGTTTTGCATATTATGCACACCGGTTTGATATTTTACATGACATATACGTATTATAGGTGTGTAGCCAGGAGGAAACGGTGATTTGGGTGTTAACCCCCCCCCACTCTATTTAAGTCAAAATAAATTATACACTATATGGTAAAAATAATTAGGTTTCTTACAGAATATGTAGTTATTGTATGGTTATATTTGATATCAGGCACTTAGACAAAAAAAAAAAATGGGGAGGGAGGTTCATAAAAAATTTATAATGACTAATATTACTAATATTATCAATATTTATAAACAAATATTAATTCGAAATAAGTAAATTTACACAGCTATTAATTTTCGGAGGGTTCAACCACCCCCAAAACCTCCTCCTGTATACGTGCCTGTTTGATATAATTATTTATTATAAGCAGTGAAGATATTGTACATTATACTACTATATTAAATACGTATTAATGGTTATTGGTGATATTATGACTTGATCTATGACTTCATAGAAAATGTTTGAATCACCAACAAGTGTGTTTGAATATAAAATTAAAACACCCCCTTTAAAAATTCCTGGCTACGTACGTGTGTTCTTCTATACTCTGTATTAATATTAACTATAATATACTATATTAAAAGTCGTATTATTAGAATCTGTTGTGATATTTAGTTAAATTATAAACGAAAAAAAAGAAATACAAAATTGAAATTCATTAATTTATGTATAAGTGTTGCAGGCCACGGGATTGTTTGAACACTCGATATAAAAATGGTGCGAAACACGATAAAAAGCGACGAATAAACAATATAAGTGGTAACTTGTAAGTACCTATTTACATTTTATTTTTCTAAACAAATACCTGCGTTATACGTATTTTTATTTCATTTACCAGGTGGTTTATAGTTTTTGGAAGAAAAATGCAAAACCCACATTTTTCTGGCATTTAGTTGAGTCAAGTGGGTCGGGCATACTTGTAAGGAGTTTGAGTTCACAATATTATATATGTGCTAATGTGACGTGTTTGAATGCGAATTATATCGCCACCCCCTAGATGAATATTTAAGTTCGCCACTGCTGGCGGATAACAAAATTTGTTACTCAAATAGGTATTTGAATATTATATAGATCACAAATATATAAAAGTACGGATAATACATAAACGTGATTTAAATTTGTACCACTATATGTTATAAACAACGGTTAAGTTCTACCGATCATCGATGAATTCAAAATTATGAATTATATACTTGGAGATAAATTTCGTTAAACTAAACATGTGTAATATTAAATTTTAAACCTAGAATTTTGATAACTCTATGCCTACTATATTATTTTAAACTTAGCCGTTTATACACTAATCCGCGGTATTTATTTTATACAAGAAATCGAAATTGTTTTGTCGTTAAATTCGATGTGTAAATTATATGCCTATAATATATTGTTGTGAAAAACCAGTTATAAAACCAATTCAAATATAACTAATAGCACCAAATTTCCCACGCTTATTATTTACGTACGAGCTTGTGTTCGTCAGCTCGGGTTTGGTGATTATATAGCAGGTTTTTTTTGTTTCGTTTTTTTTTTTTTTTTTTTGGTTTTCGAGTATATTAAAAAACTATTTTTCATTGCGTGATTGTATAGCGAGGGACGCAGAGGAGAGTTTAAACATATACGGTGCGAATAGGTACTGCTGTTGCAATAATGCGACAATGACCAGATACCTATATAATGGGAATAAAACGATCATCCGACCCGTAGAAAGTGCGCGGACACACACACAACATACCTACATAAATAATATTAAAAAATAAAAAAAAATCGTACATTTGTGCACGCGGCGGAATGCGCGACTTTAGCCTATTTGCCAAGAGGCGTGACACACACACACACACACACACAAGTCGGTCGGTGCCAATATAATAATAATAATAATAATGTATGTGTACCTAATAGTGGGTACGTTTCTATATAAGTACAGTTTATTATGTTTTGTCATATTATTACCTATACTATTGCCGGTTCCGAGTTTATTATTTTATGACATGTATCTATACATTTTTTTTTGTTTAAAGGGAGCTGTTGCAGTCGATGCAGCTGTGCCAATAAACTATTATAGGCTACAGGTGACCTATACAGCTTACATCTACTCGAAGACGAGAGACGTGTGCTGGGGTTTTTTTTACCTACATCGTCGTCGTCGTCTAATTTTAAGCACGTGCACAGTGGTGTGAATACAGTGAATTTTATCGCGATTGTTATAATAACAGTACCTATTTATATTTCGTATTAGGTATATTATATAGGAAGTCGACTATATACCATCATCGCACAACCGTTAAAAATCGCATCGAAACATAAACAATTTTCTAACGAATTATTTTTACGGAAGAAGATTGGTAAAAATAAATACGGTTTTTATGCGATCATCGTGTACAGATTATACATATCTGACGTAATCGCTGCTTTATTATTCAAAATAATGTTAATGATGCGTCGGTATAATGACGATCACTTAACCGGTACCGCGTAATACTTTAGATATAAAACCATCTAAAACCATTTTAAAGTTACAGACGAAAATATTATTATACAATACGATACTTACGTTTAAAGTTTATGAAATGCTATAGTAATTAACGAAGTGTTATAATACTATCATCGTTTATCATAGCTACAAATTGCATGTATTTAACAGCTAAGTACATATAAATTAATTTATATCAAATTCATTTAACATTCGGTATGATATGTTTAAAAGGACGTGATACCCACATGTGCTTACTCCGTCTTATAGACATATACAACATTAGCAAATTTGCGTTCAGCATGGACATCTTTGTGTACTTAGTTTAAATATTAGAGCGAATTGACCTATTATCAAACATAAAAAGAACATTATCTGTGCAATAATACAGGTTTTATTTCGATACTTTAATTTTTAAACGATTTATACGTATTTTTAAGTTGCGATATTTCACATACTCATAAATCGCAGATTTAGTCGACAACGGAGAAAACTACGAATAATTTTAATGGTAATAACTGTTATAAAATATTGCGTAAAGTACTTCATTAGGACAAATTAATAATGTGTAAGTAAGCTTGGACGTAGAGTTTCATTATTATAATAAGTAGGACAGATGACTTCTAGCATCTGCATATCAAATACCAAATTTATAATTTTGGGTTGCGTATTTAGATATTTTTTGCTTTTTGAAACAATTTTAAGTTTTACATGCTTTTTTGCTCAATTTAAAAAATGAGATTTATCAAAACGACATTCCTGCTCATGGTAATCTGTAGTGATCGATTCATGCCAGTGGATATCATAATGGTTAAATTCATTAATCAATTAATGTAATATCTCAATGTTTTCTTAATTATATCAATTAAAAGTAAAAATTGTATTAAGATAAAAAGTATTATAATAAATGATTCATTATCATTATAATTAAATTAAGTAGGTAGGTAATTTATTGTTTTTCTTTTTTAGATCATTTTCAAATAATTAATCAAATAGCTAGAAAAAAATATTGAGCATATCTTTAGTGTATATTTAAGGGTTTTTAAAAGTATAAGCACTTTTTGTTTTTTTTTAGAGTATTATTTATCTGAAAAGATTTATCATTTTCATTATTTTGTATTTTGTAATAATATAAATACGTGCAAATATTAAAAAAAATGATTTGGACATTTTTATTATACAAAAATGTAAACTTATAATACTAATTATGCATACGAGTTTAGCATTAGGTATCGTTTAAAATTTTTCATAATTATTTTAAATAACCAAAAAGCTCATGTTTAAGCAGTGATCAAGAACAATTGAGTAATTATTTTTTATTTTCAGTACCCTATTAGATACATACGAGATAATACAGATGATAGCCCCACAAAACAGCAAAACAAATACAATATAATCTGTATAAGATAGCATAAGCGAAAAGAGTCTTCCAAGATAAAAGCCATGTATTAACTATTGGAGTGAGAAACGTGGTGCCTTTTGGATTCGAAACATGAATAATTAACTCAATGGGAAAAAGTCGGCTGGAAGCTTTTGAGGTGTAGTGCCTCAGGAAAATGCTTAAAACCCTCTGAACCGATAGGATTTTATAAGAAGAGGAAAAAATACGTTATAGAAATATATTCAATCCACACGAGATAAGATATGGCACACATAATAAGACACGAAATATTACTAAAGACAATAATATTGAAAGAAGTGTTGAAGGAAACATTGCGAGATGAAGACCAAGAAGAAAATATATGTTTAGCGTAAAGCAATAATTTTGTTTATAACCATTTAAGTTAGACCAAACCACCACCATGGTGTTTAAAAATATGTAATATATAATCCCAAACTTCGCTCAGAATTGTATTTCGTCAACAATGATACATCGTAAATATAGATATAAAGTAAATAACATTATGTATCATCATACTTTCCTATAACTCCCTACATACAATAGTGGCACACCCATCAGCAGTATCAGGTCTTTTTTTATTTCTAGTTTTAAAACATATTTATAAAATATCTATTAAAACAATTTTCAATAGTGAAATTTGTATTAATTACTGCACATTTTTTTTGCGGAAATGTGTAATACATTTATTTTTAGAAATAGACACGAAACATTATTTTATATTATGCTAATGTATGAATCCAATGCAATTGTTATATTATTTAGGCCAAGACTAGGAGTTGGTTTTTAATTTGGAACTTTTCCTCTGACTGCGTATGCTATATATTCTACACCATGATCCGAGACTAATTGACGTATTTCTTAGTTCACGGGAAAAAATTCAAACACGCTGTAAGATTTGTTTGTCACGATTTCGTTTTATATATATATACGATAAGAACAAAATTCTGTCTGTGCATTATCATATTATGTACCCGTAATAAGAATTTACAATATTTTCTTAATGATAACGTATTGAAAATAACTACTATTGATAACTCGTGTAAAGAAAATACCTATACTGGCTACCTATTACCTATAGGTGGATGTCATTAATAATAATATAATTAGAGAAACAATATTATTATTCTAAGGCCAAAGTGTTTGATAGAAAATTTATCTATTTTAATAATATAATATAGAACGCACAAACCAAATAGTTTTAGGTAATTCAAATCAGATCCATCATCACGTTAAATTAAATTGAATAATGGATGAACCACTGTTGTACAGATGAAAACAATTCTTTAAAGATATTGGAAGAAGAATTTGTAGTTTATAATATATACTGATAGCGACGATAAATCATTGGAATTCAACAACTATTTTGAGTGTAGCCCAGTAAACTAGTATGGTTATATTTTCCCCTTGTAGCTAGTAATCCAAAAACCAGCAAAAATAAAACTAATGTAATTATAATTTGATGTTAATTTTTAAATATTTTAGACAAAATGTGTAAAGTAGGTACCATCGGTTGGAAATCCCGAATTTTTTTTTAAGATACTATACACCTATATATACTTCGTAAAGAAACCGGAGCATTTATACTCAAAAAAAAAAAAACAAGCAATTTTTTTGGAAAAATTTTGTTATTGAAACAATTAATGAAATGAAGTACCATTAGGTAAAAAATTCTAGTCTTAAGAAGGTATCACATGAAAAAATTGAAGGATAGTAAAATGAATAGCTTTTTTTCGTTACAATCAGAATGTATAAGTAGGTAACTGCTATAAGGTAGCCGGTTTAAGTAAATAAAGTTTCTTACTTAATTATCTACCTATTAATGAAACCGCAATAAAATATTTCACACTAATTGTTCAGAATACTAAAAAAAAATATTATATTATTATATGTAGGTATCCATTATGGTGGTATTAACATTACCATAACGATGTTGATACACAGAACTTAAATGTAACTTTGGAAAAAAAAATTATAACGCCGTTATATATTTTGATGTTGTAGCAATCTGAATAATATACGTAGGTACTTCCTACCAATATTATAATAATCATTAAATAACTCAAAATTAATTTGTTTGAGTTTTTTTTTTTCAACGGGTGATTTGCCGTATAAAAATAAAGAATGTCCATCGTAAATCGTTATAATCGATGAACACATTATATAATAATAATATTATCATCATAAGCGATGAAACGAAAATGCCGTATTGTGTTTATTTTTTTTTTTTTTATTAACGAGCGAACACTCGCTGTGCAGCATAATATTATATATAGTATGCGCTTGACGTTGGGAAAAAAAAAATAAAAAAAAAAAATTAATGTTTTCGGTAGATAAAGAGGAGAGATAGTCAAGGTCCGGTGCGTAAAAAATACACAGCCGGCTCAGTTGTTTACCGCTATATGTACCGGTGTTTACCGTTCGGGTCGATCAAATGCGTTTCGTCACCGAATCGGAACACACAAAAACCGTGGGTATATTGGTCGATACGCCGTCAACCGGACCCTGCAGGAAACTATACGGAATTTAAAAATGTATACCTATACCGTAACCGCGGTATATGGTTGTTAACCGATCTACCGGAGAAACATCGACCGTTCAACCCTTTTCCCGGCGATGGCAACCGAAACTTTCCAACGACTCGTAAAGAACGCATAGTTTCGCGCTATTTTACCGGTCTCACTTTTTTTTCCCTCCCTTCTCCGCGTTTTATATATGCTGCAGAATGCGTCATACTTTCGTGTGCACGAAAACCAATATTGACGCGGTTATTAATTATATTATTATCACCGACAATATTGTTGTTGCAGCAGTTTTTTTTTCTTTTCCTGTAGGTAGCCCATAATATAATAATATAGAAACTCAATATATGTATCGTGCATTGTAGGTAGGTACAGAGTGATTGTGGCGATTTCTCTGAATTGGAATTTTCGCGAAATTTCTGATATTAAAACTACCGCATTTGTCCATATTTTATTCCAAATTAAGTGATTAAAGATTCATATTATAAATCGTTATTTTCCGGAGTAAATTTTCATGGAAATAATATGCGAGTATAGCACGCATAATTTATTATTAATTTTGATTTTGCGAGAAAAAAAAAATACCTAGTTCCTGAATGCGTCCGAGGGTGAATATCCTCGGGTATAGGTTTTTTTTTTTTTTAAAAAAAATAAAAATAGTGCATTATATTATTTGTTAAAAAATATAGAGTAATTTAAATATTATGCTTTTCATGGATAATAAATATTCGACCAGTTTTCATACAGTATTGATAGACGAAAGTGGATTTAGTGTCCACGACTTAAAATCGAAAGTGGTTCACATACGATCGACGTCTAGTAAACTGGACATAATATAATATATGCGTATACACAACGTATGGGTTTATGATACACTTACGTAAGCGTATATGGAGTATACACATTTCACAAATCTACAAGTCGAGTGCAAATAGTTTTATCTCGATATTGATCATAACACATTTATAACATACAATTTACACATATTTTAAGAACATAGACGGATACCAATCGTTCAATTTTTATTATTTATTTTGTTACTTTATAATATACCAAGTCAGTAATAGTTAAAAACTATTCAAGTTCAAATAGTAAATCTTAAATAATTAATTACAAGTCGGATTAACTCGGATATCGTAAGAAAAAAAAACGGTTGCCTAAAAAAGTCGTTTCATAATTTAGACCTGTACTGAAAGTGTTTGGTCATTTGTTGTTGATAATATTCAGCGTATTCGGAATTTCAAACTAAAATCGGATTTGCGATTATTAATGAGGAATTACGAGATTATTCCATGAGGTCTATTTCTGACCAACGCAACAATTAGTTATATACTAATAATAATAATAATAACAATAATAGTACTACAATAATCAACAGTACTAGGTTTTGGAAACTGTGGATGGCAATATGAATTATTTTGACATATCGTATATACGTATATTTGTTTATATAACATTTATTTATCTACAATTGTAGGTATATATTATATATTTGATGGGGATGACCCTTTGGGGGAATAACGATTGTCTATACACGGTAGATTTAACGGTTGTTGGTGCGCATTTAAGAATTTCTACAACATGGAAATACCATACACAATACGTGTACAGTTAGGAATTGTACGTTCCAAGAAGTTTTTAGTACTAAACCCGAATTTCATCTCATAGATATTTAACTTTAGTACAATTTCTCTTCACATTTTTTTTTTCAGACTTAGAACAGGCAGTTTTACTGGCACATTTAACAATTTGTTTGCTTATTGTTGGCCATTAAACTTAAATTTAGAATATTAAAATCAGACAAAGGGCAAAATATTATTGCCAAACCGAATGAATACTTCATTACAGAAATGAAAACCTACGTTTACCATAAATTTGCACATAAAATAGGCTGTGTTTAGTTATTGGGCCTTTTGAAACGTATTCCACACGAGTTTGGTACCACTGACTGCAGCTGCAGTGGGTTACACATACGATTACGTACAGTTCCTCGATATAATACTGTCTGCAGCAAAGAGTCCCGACGGAGTGTTTTTGTTATTGTTTTTAAAATCTAACAAAATCTACATTGCAGCGTATAACGCGTGCCACCGACGTTATTTTTCGGATTTCGATCGTGATTGTCCTCCCCCTACCCGGCCTTCCCAAAAAAATATGAAAAAACCAACACGAAACGCGATCAATTTACGGCTGCTGCAGAGACGTTGTTTTTTACCCGAAGCGTCGTGGGTTTAGTCGGTACGGAACAACAGACGCACACACACACGCACACACTCACACACACACCACGGTCCAAGGCTCTCCTCACCAAGCTGCATTCCATTGAAGTGAACAAACCCGTCCAGGATTTGGTTTCATTACGTCCATAGGGGGCATCATTTTGTGTATAAGTATATAATATTATTATTATATGTTTAATGCGCACACACTATACACAAATATATACCAACGATTTGTGTTCACGTCGGCTGTATACTCGCCGCCACCGCCGCATCCGTCAATGAATATTACGTACTCTATTATATTATTACACCAATCAAGTCGAAAGACATAGTACCTACCTATCTAGTACCTACATTACAATTGTAGACGACCGCAGTGATTGGTACCCGCACACAGTTTATTTCGTTAATAACACCCCCGCCCCCCCTCTCTCTCACCATTTCCCATCACGCATACTCGTTTAGTCGTATAATACTATACAGTATATAGTAATATTCGTAATTTTGTTCTTTGGAAATATGTATACATATTAAGTTGCGTGAACATTATTTAAATAATTTATACAATATTGTATTATTATTATTAATATCGTTCAGTATCGGGGACGTCGTTTCAGTTTCTTATAAGGGAGTGTAAACATTTTCATGAGTCCAATTTCCGTGTGCTTTATAATGTTCCATTTTATCTCATAAAATATCTATTATTTACTTCTTATGTATTTAAGTTATGAAAAAAATTATTTATTTCATTAAAATATACTTTGATATTTTACTTTTTCACCCTGTTCCGTGAAATTGACCTGAAGACGCCACTTTAAAAACGATACTTACAGTAATAACATAACATTTTTATTTCAATTTCCATTACACAAACTATCAAGTTTACACAATGGAAGTATCACGGGTTATAAAATAATATGTTTTTAATTTCCTAATTACTAGTGACTTATGACTATATTATAATGTAGTATTATTATTGAATTAAAGTCTCAGTACTTATTATACACGAATTGAGATGCTAATTCAGTGAATTGGTTTTTTTTTTTTTTTTTTTTTTATAATGAAGTAATCGTCAAAAACAAAATATCGATGGTTAAAATTAAGAAATTGTGCTTACCTCTCATGTTCCAATAGTTTTTTTGTTAATGATTCTTTCTTTTTGTCTCTCCTCAACGTCATATTCTTTTCAAGGTTGTCACGTTCTTGTTGTAACTTTATTGTGAGAACTTTTTGTTCATCCGGCCGTTTTCTTTTCATTTGAAGTTCTTTCTCAAATCTTATGGTCAACCTTTCCAATTCTTTTTCCCATTCGTTCTGCAAATTACACAACAAAAATATGTATAGGTAAAAACCTACTTTTAATTATTAAACTACTATTTGTTTTTACTTTAACGAATAGTAATTTTAAGTTATTATATTTTAAATATTTTTATGATTGTTCTCACGTTTATCTCTTCTTTGATACGGATGTCTTCGGCTTCCCGTTGCTTTGCAAACTTTCTGTATAAGTCGTCCTCTTCTTTACGATGTTTCATTTCTAATCTTGTCTGTTCATCTTTATCCTATATGCATAAAATTAAATTAAAATAATATTCTCGACGTTTCAAATTCGTCACAAAAATTATATAACATTATTCTAAATTCATTAAACACTAAACAATAATTATTTAGGATCATTCATTAATTATATTGTATATTAATAATTACGTATAATAAGTAATTTCTATAGTATTTGATTATTGCAATCTATGCAACGAATGCAACTTTGAAAGTTCTGATCCCCAGTTACCACAATATGAAACGTATAATTTCTATGTAAAAGCACACACACAATAATACATGTTACACAATATTCGGAATATGAAATGATCTTTCTTCTCATAAATTTTAAATTCTTGAAAAACAATTATTGTCTAGAAATTCATCTGTAAACTATTTTTTTTTTTTTTTTTTATAACGATGTCAATTTCATCAAAATTGTTCAAAACCGAAATTTCAGATTGGCAAGTCTACTGTGGTGAATTATATCGATAGCACGTCTGGCGTATACTAAGTATATAGCTATTAGCCAGAGTGTGTAAAATATCAAACACAATTACATATAATAATATACAGAATAGTTATACGTTGTCAATTAGTCAAAAAAAAAAAGAATAAACCAATCACATCAGGTTGATGAAAGGCGCAAAATTGCAGTAAAAAAAGTCATGCCGTAAAACAGCAGTTTTTTTTTATCGAATTCATTCGTTTGAGTGTTCGGCCGATTTTTGCTCACCGCGATGACAGACGATAAGTGAATACCGCCGTAGTAATGACTGCGAAAATGGCGGCGCCCCGTAATATTTTTCTTTTTATTCCCCCTCGCCTATTTCCTTAATCGTTTTAATCCTATATCTTCTCTTTACTCGGTCTCTCACATCATAAACACATTCATTCCCTCCACAATCAATCGTTTCTGTACCACCATACAACAAAGTCAGTTTTAACCACAGTTTTGTAAAATTTACCTAATCCTCTTCATCCACATCTACACTAAATGTTCCTCAAATCTATTCTTCATTTCTCTTTTTATTTTTTATTGTCTTATCCCATCATTATTTTATCTAAAGTCGTAAATATTAAGCCCACAATAATTATTTTCTCTATGCAATAATTAACTAATAATACTGTAAGTATGCATTCCACAAAGAACATGTTCTACACCGTACTAAAAAATATATTATAATAAATGTATAATTATGCGTTTTAAATTTAAAAAATTTTTTTTAATAAAATATAAACATAAACATTTGTGCGCAAGTACCTATAGGCTATAATTTAGGTACACTGTTTACATACATCGCTTTACAATAATAAATAATAATACATATAGGTTATAAATTATGTACATGTATAAAAGATGTATGACCGGCTGACCTTAATACCTATAGCGATATGCCTTGGTATTGACATTGTAATACCTACTGCAGTATACCAGCGCACGTATATATATATGCTCCCAATTTTTCACGCCTGTAAATCACCCAACTCTTCAGTATTCACTCGGTGTGCCACATATTATTATACCTACCTAATATTTTTACTATTAGGTCGGCATAATATATATTAACTGCTGTTATGTTATCAAAGCGGACTTATTGCGAGCGAAAATGTATTAAATCCTAGGTAGGTACATCACAATATTTATTATTATTATTACTTTTTTTGGCCTCTTTGGCGCCACTCCACATAGATTTAATAGATAGTACACACTACATATGCAGGTATATTATTATAGTGCATAACTAGGTACGATACATTGTGCGCATTATTGTCAAACTATCGAGAATCGGATAATAACTTTAACTTTAAAACTAGAACAAATATAAATTATATATACATATGTATAATTGTATACAATTTATAATTTCGTCTCGCAATATACTATAATAAATCGATTGATTTAAAAAAAAAAAATCGATTGATTGTCAAATATAAGTATATAATGACCATAATCTTTAATGAGCAAGTACATCAATTTTGATTTATTTTTAAACATCACTTTGAAACATAATCATTATCAAAAACAACAAGTCATCATAATATAGTTACATAACAAATTTAATAAATTATAAGGTATAACTTGGGAATTAGAGTTGTTTTATAGACGGATTGAAGTTATAAAAATTCATATCGAAATTTTGTGTGACTTTTTAAAAAACAATATTAGTTAAAGTATGTAATATACGTCTTAAACGGTATTGTAAATTACATAACTGCTATCAGTTATTTATTGTCTTACAAAAAAATATTTCTATCATACAAAATAGATTAGGAAAATTCTATTAATTTAGTATACTGATGTTTTTTATTCCTTATTCAAAAAACTGTGAACCTATTAAACTTTGGCATTAATTCAGGACGCGATGTCTATATTATAAACTATAAATGAAATAAACAATACATTTGTATCAGTAAAATAATTAAAAACTATAGTGTTATCATTTGATTTATAACGTTGCCGAATTGGAACTTACACTTAATAAAACAAAATACTGTAAAAATGCTACTTGAAACGATGATAGACGGAGAAAGGAAAATTATTAGTAAGTGTGTATAAGGAGAGAGAAATTTCACAAATATCTATAGCCCGAAGTCTAAATGCTTGAAAAGTCTAAAATGAAAAAAAAATACATTAAGCATTAGGGGAGGGGATATAAAATTCATAGACGCACATCAGTCAAAAAACCTGTTTTCAGCGCGATTGAATTTAAACGAAGAAAGTAATACATAATTATATATATGTGTGTATGTATATTGTATATATATGTATATAATGTCTAGGGAGGTGATGATTGAACCATGACGTCATGGATATACAATACGTTTCAGGATTACTTCGGCAACATCGCACTGATGGATACAATATTTGGTATATTTACTGAGTTGAGTCATTGTATGGTTTTTATTTTTGTTTTTTTATGTAACATGTCGTCCAATAACGAATATTCATTCTTCATACATATATTGAATTTAGCAGTAATTATTAATAAACATTTGACGTAGCATCCAGTAAATTTAAAAAATCAGAAATTTGTGCACAATGGTAAATAATTCATGTGATTATTCAGTTTAAATTCGATTACTGAAAATGAGTTTAAACCATATATTTTTTGGTAACAATATTTATAAATAATGTATACTGTATACTTTAAGTATTTTCGTGTTCTGTAAAAGATATTCAAGAATTATGAAATTTGAGTAGTAATAGAATAGAATATTACAATCACTTTGTACAAAAATATAATAACACAGTGGTTGGTATATGGTTTTTAATACATTTATTTTTACGAAATAGGTAGGTAGGTACGTTGTTTAATCGTGTAGTCTTAAATTTCAATGGTTGCGTGCTAGTCAACTTAAACTACATAAAATCCTTGAATATTCCATGTAAACAGAGGAAACGCGATTAAAATTGTATTTTTCACGATTCGAATGATTTCCCTATAGTCTCATTATAAAGTTTTAAAATATATATTACTATACAGGATGACCCTACAAATATATACTCATTGCAATACCTCCTGAGATAATAAAAATAATCAAAGACTGTTTTTTTTTTTTTATATTACTCGCAGGGATAAGGACTACAAATAATTATATTTAAATGCAATTCTTATGTTTTGATAAAACAATTAAAAAACTAACTTTTTATTTTATTATTTTCGAAAAATTTGACGATAGCTATTATGGAGTTTATCCTTTTGAACATTTTGACTTATCAAATTTTTATTTTCATTAAATTCGTGATTTTTAATCGTTTTTTAAAGTTCAGAGAAAAAAAGTGTACAGTCAATTAAGGATAATAATAATAAACAATTAGCGAATACGATTACAGCCTGCTGCATAAAGGTATTTTTTTTTGTACTTTAAAAAATTGTTAAAAATCATGAATTTAATGAAAATAAAAAGTTTAAACGTCAACGTTTTCAGAAGAAAAATAAACTCTACAAAATGGCTATCGTAAAATTGTTCGAAAATAATAAAATAAAAAGTTATTTTTTTAGTTTTTTTTACCGAAACATAACAATTTAATTAAAATATAAATATTTGTAGTCTTTATCCTTGCGAGTGGTATAAGAAAAACATCATTTTATTATCTTTATTATCTCAGGAGATATTGCAATGGGTGGGGACATTCTATATACGAGTATATATATATATATTTCAATCAAATCGTATAACTTCTAAAAATGGCTTACTTTATATTAGTGTAATACAATCAGAACTTACTATAAGAAATTACTCATACAAACGTTAGTAATATTACGTAAACAAACAAGTTGCATAGATTCTTCTGATATTTTATTTTAGAAATTGTAGAAATAGACACACATCTATTGTATGAAATATAAACGAATACAAAAACCGGACGATATAAATTTTTAAAAGAAATACGTCTATAAAATCATTAGGTATAAAAGTAATAAATTAATTTAGGGCATATTAGAGAATTTTTAATATGGGAAATTTTAAAACACGCCTGAAATAAACTTAATTTTAACAATCTATAAGCGAAAAATATTTGTTTGTCATCAATATTTGTTGAGAAAAAAACACACCTGTACAGGAGAATAAAAGTTTTATTGGTTTCCCTATATTGGGCTACATCTGAAAATTATCAAAATTATTTGAATACAATAATATGTGCAGTAAAACAGCATAGGTTGTTACATTTCATGACACAGGAAATGTTCAAAGTGCCTCAAGGGCACAGCAAATTTAATTTGTTCAGTAGTAATATATTTGTAAAAAAAAAAAATACATCTAAACACGATCAAACGTTAACACACTTTGTGAATACACTAAATTGTTATCGCGTATTCAAATTTTAAAGACACGTTTTGATTTTTTTTTTTTTTTCGTCGAATGTAGTAACAATATTTTTACATACGTCCTTGTGATATTGCGTTAGGCCTCTCGTTTTTGTAGGCCAAAAAGACCTAACCCATAGCGGGGAAAACAGCGTTTAAAGAATGTTTCACATGACTATATTATATACAACGAATTTGTGACGGTTCAACGTAGTTACACTGTTAGTCGTACTTGATTGTTTTAACATTTATGAGTCTGACAATGCATAAAATATATGTAAACTCTCTCATTATCGTCTATATTTTAATTTAAAAACATCGAATCAATATAGTTTGCCTGCGTCTTTTTTTTCCGTTTACCGTCTTCGTTTTTTCATTTATTATTCGTATTATAATTCCTTTTCAATATTTACCGTATCTAATACACTGGCTGTATATGAGCCAAATAAAGCGTGAACTAGAAAAATAAATTGCAATAGGTCTGCACACCGCAGTCAGAGAGAACCGCAAAATTCTAAAAGAACACTGTCATTGCACTTCATTCCCCGATTCGACATTCCGTTCACCACAATGATCGGTACGCTACCACAGCCGTCGTCGTCGTCGTCGTCATCGACTATTAGACGACAAAAATGTATAAGTACCCATATAATATTGTATATATATATATATGTATACAATATTGTATATATGTTTACTAGTTTACACATATATAGTAATGTATAGTAAAGAACATTTCAAATTTTCGTTTCGACTGAAATTATACGCTTAATGAAATAATCGCTGCGGCTTTCGAGGCGGTCGGTGTGTCTGTAATTTAGTTTAATTTCATTGTGTAAGACTTCGGCATATTAGGTATTCTTATAACGTTCGTAATGTGGGTCTCGAAGTATAATATTACATTGTGTCGTGGCACCCAGTCATTCCCAACCGATTATAACTAATAAACGATTTCATTTTCACCTAGAAAACTTCCTACTTCCTGGATCGTTTTAAACCAGGAACTTTCTTATTTAAACAATATCATGAGAAAGATCCACGCCACCATGATATTATATGAGCATATCACTAACTTATAATCTAACGAAAACAATATTATAGTTTGTAACTATATGCAATCATAATAATATAGACACCTATGTTGTAGTATAACATTGTTATACCTATTTAATATAGGTTATGTATTAACATTTTTTCTCTAGTTAAAAAATAAAAATACTATTGTAAAATATGCTTGTGTATATGTAGTAGTCCATGAGCTTTCTTATGAAATGTACATATTATCGTATAAATATTCACTGGTGGAGAAAAATAATTTTTTTCCGTATAGACATTATTAAAGACATTGAGAAGACTGAAGTATTCAACAGCTATACTAGGTACTTTATTTTTGAGAGTAACTATCAAATTAGCTTGAATTTTAATAATATAATGGCTGTTGATAGATACAAGCGATTAACTAGGTATATTGTTATATTAGCATATAAACATTTTTTCTTCTTCTTCACCTTCATCTTGACTATTTGAGGTAGGCCCCCTTCGTTCTAAACTTCTAATTGATATCATTTATATTAGCTATCCTCATACCATTTTTAATTACATCCAACCACCTATTTTTCAGTCTTCCTCTCCATCTCTCCTATGTTTATTTTCATTACAATTCTTACTACTTCTTACTGTTTACCATCTCAGTCTATCAGTCTATTTACTGTCATTTTGTCAACTATTGAAGCCACACCTAAACTACCTCTTATGTACTCATTCCTTATCTTATTTGCTCTAGTCACTCCACTCATCTACCAAAGCATTTTAATTTCTATTACACTCATTCTCTGTTCTATAATTCTTTCTATCGTTCAAGACTTCGAATCATATAACATAGTCTCACTACACCTATGTAAAGTTTAACTTTAAGTCTCATTGGAATTTTTTTGTCACATAAAACACCTAGCGCTTCTCTCCATTTTATGCATTCCCATTTAATCCTATGTTTCACATCCTTATGAAAGCCACCGTTCTTTTATGCAAAAGATTCTAGGTACTTAACATTATCATAATCTTGCCTATAACCCCTTATTGTCGTTAGCTGTCTTATCCTGTTCCTCTAAACTCATACTCTGTTTTACTTCTACTAATCCTTATTTTCTTTCCTTCAAGTTCTCAAGTTTAAACTCTCCATTCCTCAAACCTATTGTAAACTTATTCTAGATATTCTCCAATCAAAGTTACATCATGCACCATGTTACCTCCTCTCACCTATCGTCCCTGCGTATATCTGAGATAGGACTAAATTCCACTAAATTCTTGTTTAGAACTCCTCATACTGTTTGACAGAATTTCATACCAGTACCGACCTGACACAACCCTATTTGTCGCCTCTTAAGACAGTTACCATGAGAGTATTCTGATCCCCTCTCACAGGAAGACTTAGCATATAATCATTTTATTTCATAATAACTAAATAACGTAGAATCTACATTATCATTAGCATTATATATATGTATATATATATAGCATTCAAATCGCAGTTTTTTTTTTTTTGGTTTTTAACGCAAATATTATATTTTCATTTCCAATTTTAAAATGTTTATGTATAGGAACTTTTTAATTGCGATATACTTAATAATATGACAAATGATGAATTTTACAACTGTAGCTATGTTGTTATAAATAGTAAAATACCCTATACTTTCAACTATACAAAAATATTAACTCCAACGCGTATATATTTCATTTGCGAGAGATTTGACGAATAATTTACATAATTTAAAAAGGTTGAAATATTATTATTCTAAACATTCTTTAACGTGTGCAACACGTACTCGAGTGTGGATGCGTTACGTAAAAAGACCATTCTCCGATACTTATAATTGTTTTAAGCGCAAATGGTTCGCACACACGATGAGTACACGACACATAAATAAAATACCTAATGTATTCGTTGTATTGTTTCGCGTGTTATGCAAATGATGATGTACACAAATACCGGTTAACAATTCAAAAATTAATCAAATTTGACCGAACAAAAAACCATTTATAGTTGTTAGAAAACAGCTATTAAATGAATGATATTCGTATATATAGGTCTAACTAAAAATATTATTTGTTTGCCACTATTTTTAATTATACGTTCATACATAACGATCGGCATAGATAAAATAATACGTTTATGATTGATGCATATTATAGTGACCATAGAACCAAAGAATGTAAACCAGTGTTTCCCAACCTTTTTTTACTCAACGTCATTTTTAGATTTTCAAAAACTCCCCCCCCCAAATAAATTTAAAAAAATTACAGTTCAGTTTTTATAATCGGCCATTTAATTAAAGTGAAAAATAAATATTTTTTTCACATTTTGTGCTTGAACATTTTATTATAACTACGAATAAGTATGACTAACGTACACGCACGCTAAATTATAACTTCATGTAATAAATGCAAAATGTAATTATACAATTGTCGGAAATATCTGTATGAAAATGGGGCCAAAAAAAAGCTTATCGGCATCGATACAATAAGATAAAAGCTTGTTTATTATCATTTTGCTATTGTAGTGCGTATAAAATATTAAATTTTTTTATACAGTATGTAGATATACGTTTTATTGCAATAAGTTATAAATTTGTTAATATTGTTTTTAATAATAGGAAATTATATTAATACTGAAAATCACAGTAGAATCGTCCCCTTAAGCAACCTCTTAAGTAAAAAGCACACAAATGGTACGCCGGCATCACCCATGTTGAGAGTCACTAGTGTAGACGAACAAAAAATAATCCTATTTCAAGAGAAATCACTATTCAATATTATACTACAGTATTATTACTCGATAGCATTAAATATATTGTAAACAGGACTAATAAAACGCACGTTATTGGTATATATATTTTCATAATAGCGACATAATGGTAATCACAAAGATGGAATTCGCACACTAAAGAACTGTTAACGTTAACCAAATCAAAGTAAAGATTGAACATTTTTGATCAAAAATAATCTATTCAGGAACATAGTAAACAAATATATAATATAATGTATTAAATTTTAAAAAAAAAACGTAATGTCATAGACAAAAAATAATTGCTGTGTTCTACAAATTATAGTAATTTTCCGATTTCGTATAATGTCATTGATACTTAATGATTATTTTTATCTGTGATTGGTTGGTAGTTAGATGACTACAAGATGCTAAACGCTAGAAGTTCTTGTGTGAATCACCCTTAATATATTATAATTATGCGTTTGAAAATGGATAAGTCTTTAAACACTTACCAGATAACAGTGTATAGGTTTCTCTCGGATACCGTTTTTATTGGCGTACGATTTGTGCAGTTCGGTGGCTCGGAGTGCATGGGCTATGTGCAATGCCGAGGCGTCGAACCTACCGTACTGGTAACCACCGGTATCCGGCGTAGACGACCCATGGATGTACGGGGTAGGCAACGGTGATTGCGAGCGGTTCGGCGTCGAACCGTTCAGGTGTTGTTTAATGTTCAGCGCCTCGGCGTCAAATGTTCCCTTGCCACTGCCACGTATCTGGTCGTTAACGAACGTTGTCGACTTGGGCACGTTCAGAGCGCTCCTGATACCCACCGACGTGCCATCGAGGTGTCCGGGACCGATTTTCGGCACGTGACTGGAACAGTATACTTCCTTGTCCTCTTGCCGGTGTTGATTGTTGTAGTACGTCTTCAGCGTCAGTTTTGTGCCGCACACGATGCACTTGAAACATCCACTATGGAAAAACGTGAAGTCTTTGAGCGGACCCACTCGATCCACCTGATACACCGTCTGGTAGCATCGCAGACACGTGCTTTCGTAAAAATTTGACCTGTACATATTGCGCCCAGAAACGACGGCAATGGTACCAGAAATCGATATGTTTTGGCTTCACATCATAATCATTTGCCGTGCAACCTTTGTTGATTTTTTAAAATCCGAATAATCAACCTTGCCAACAGCCAAACTAGTTGATATCTTCTAAAAATACATACAAACAACGCATAAGTAAGTATTCAAAATAAATATAAAAACGATACATTTTTAGAGACGTGTTATATACAATGGAAGCAGACATAGACAAAGATCAAAAATTGATTATCTAAACATATATTATATTTTCTATGCCGGCTATTTGAAAACTTAAGGTGTACGAGGTTACATTTCTTTAAGATAAAGATTGCATGTTCAAACAAAAAATATAATTTTCATTTTATACTAAAAATTATAACATTTTATCAGATTAAAATTTAAAAAGAAAATAATTATATAAAACGTCATGCTTGTAAAAAAAATTCGAATATAATAATAAATATCTGTACAAGTACCTATATGATGAAAAAAATATTCAAGGATGAAAATAGTTCCCAGCATATCTCCGGTTAAATAAATGTTTTTTTTTTTATATATATATATATATATATTATACATAAGAAAATCTATAGTGATCATTCATCGATGATGATATAAAAAATCATAAATATATCTATGATCTAATAGACGCTTTATAATATAAGTAATGTTATTAAAATGTTACCACATCCACTATACTGTACCAGTACGTTTATTTTTATTTAAATGCTTGGCAAATAAAAATCTTTATTATTATTATTATATATTCGGTATTAAAAAAAAAAAACATTTTTTTTTTTCTACCACCAAGCATAACTTATGATAAACCTCATGTAAATCTTTTAAGTATTACTACTCTGCCAAAACAATTTTACCTACATAAATCCATATTATAATAACTAAAAAAAAAAAATCGAAAATTTCAAATACCTAAAAACTACAATAATGTTTTAAAAATTTGACCGTGTCTAGAAAAGACTAAAATAAGCATTCTGTGAAAATCAAAATCAAAAATAGAGAAACAGATATTGACGTAAACCTTAACTTTTTTCCTACGTTTATTTCGAAATATTAAAATATTAAAAATCAAACCTCAATGCATGACTTAGATAAAATTTTCTTTTGGAAAAAATGTTACAATGGAAATTCGGAGTACGGCTTTTGATTGAAGATGAATTGAAATAAAAAAAAAAAATGTATTAAATCGTTTAAACTGTCTAGTAGATAAATTTATCGCTAATACAATGAGGTAATAAAATTATAAGACTAATAAATGGTAATAGCTGTTACTATGTTTTAGAAAAACTGCTAAAATTTGCTATGTCAACACATTTAAATGTTCAAATTAACATATCGTCGATACGCCCAGTGGTCTGAGAAAAATGGCCTCTCAGAAAAACATAAAAAATAAAGGTTGAATATTTTTCGATAGAAAAATTCTGAGAATTATTGGACCATGCAAAGATGTTTGAACTAGGATATGGAGGATTAAATACAATCGAGATTTCCAAGTTCTTTTTAAACGCCTTATTAGCATCACAGAATAATTTCAGTGAGAGTAATGAAATGGACATGCATGGAGAAAGCAGAGATCAATAATAAAGGATTTTATTCCAAGGACTGTAATAAAAAACAACTCATCAGGAAAGCGACCACTAGGAAGACTTTGCTTAAGTTGACACCATTGTATTGAGAGATGTAAAAGTAATGGCGGTGGAATCTGGAGTACAGTAGAGAGGGGCAGTGGAGGATCGAAATATAGATGGAGAGCTATATCATAGAGGACTGTTCTTAAAGGCCGTCATCCCTTATAAAGAAAATTATTAACAAATTGTCCATAAATGAAGTACCTATATATAAATTTAAATAATTTAATACTCTGTACAAGAAAATAATCATAACGCATTAGTCTTAACATCTTTAAATATCCACATATTAAAATGGTATTAAAGTCCTACACAAACCCCACGTTAATCAAAATTAATGGTAGTATTTTTAAAATCAATCATTTTAGAAAAAAGTCACAAATAACTAATAAATCTACCAATCAAACAACTGCGAAAAAATATACTAGAAAAATCTCTTAAATTATAATAGCCATTAGGCATATTTTCTGTGCAATGATAATTTATTCATTGCTTTCAAATAACACTAAGTAACTGGTTTCTTATGACACCCCAAACGGTAGCCTACAGATGTTTGTCTACGGTTGTCAGATTCTCCCTACATGAATGTGAAAGTAATAATTGACGAACCACTCCCCTAATGATGGTAAAGTTTTTGAAACCGTTCGATCTATTAGCCACACCCGCAGTACCTCCGCCGTGTGTAAATAAGATTTTATTTTTTGATGTAAGTGGGTGAGTATTATTAATGATATAAATAATTTACGATTATTAAAACGAATAAAACAAAAGTCACCAATACAAAATAATAAATTTCTCAGTAAATTAATGGACGTAAAAAGAAATAGTAAGTTTTTAATGGTGTTATTATATCTATTACAATATACATGGGTATATAAGTACTATAAAGTGGAAAACTAAAAGGATTTATAAGTACATAACACAGAATAATTTAACTAACTATGTACATCTACTCTATTATAGAATAATCCGTAAAAAATCATAATCTTACGTTTAGTTGTTTGTTAAAAATAAACACATTGATTCAATTTTAAATTATTTTTCAACAAAATCATTACAGTTCTAATGTTAAGATTAGTGAAAGATTATTTAGTACAGTAGGTACTATACAGTACGAATAATCATCAGTCATCACGTTTTTTAATTTTTAATTGGGTGACCTTAACGGGTATACAGTGGCGGATTTAGTTCTTTGCCTTTGGGGAAGGCCAATATTTCTACAAATGAGCTATTCTTATAATGGTACAATTTCACTTGATTCTAAGTGAATCTTATGTATTTTTTTATGATTCAATTTAAAGTATCGTTACTTTCCTAAGTTTTTTAAATGAAAAAAATAAATATGCAATGAACAAGTTCTGAACATTTTTTGGGGTATGTTTAAGACCACAAGGAAGCAATTTCCAATCTTAATTCGAAAAAAAAAAGTTAAAAGTCAAAACAGCTTAATATATTATATTATATATCTATATATATATGTCCATACATAATTTTAAAAAAGTATTTACACCTACAGTTAAAGAAAATGTCTAGGGGGGGGGGGGTAAGGCGCCTATGCACCCCTAAATAAAGTCTCTGTGTGTATACCAATATGCTAACGATGGAAATAAGAACTTTTACACATGCTCAAAAACTCAAAATCCTTATTTAAGTTATAATCTTTTTTTTTTCTATTATATTGTGTCGAGAATATTACATACATATTTTAAAAAGAAAACCATTCAAATAGATATAACTATTTTCAACTGGTAATTTGTATATCTGGTACTTTTTTACTATTTTCGAAAACTTTAACTTTGTAATAAAAAAAAAAAAAGGACGGGCATACTTCGCACGTAGATACAGCCACTGTTGTAGGTGTTAATTAATTATTAATGAGTACTGATAAAGTAAGGTAAGGTTAATTTCAAAATGAATTTGATATGTACTAAAAGGTTTAATAATATATAATGTGTACCTACCTGCGTCATACATGAATAATGAATATAGAATATTGTGAGAATGTTATTTTCAAAAAGAATATAATAGACTCAACTCCTCATGCATTTTCGAACTTGAGAAAATAAATAATGAGAATATTTTATGAAATATTTATAACACGGCATTTTGAAAATTGTATTATTTACCTCCTAATTCAATAAGAAAACCCCAGAAATGCATCTCAACAAATAATATATTATGCTCCTCTACAAAATAATGTCGGAACAAATTACTTATCACTCAGTACTAAAGTTAATAATTTCTTGATTTATCATTGTATATTTAAATCATAGACATGTCCATGTTGGAGAGGGTATGGACATGCACCTCCTGTTGAAGCAGGTAGCCGCCACTACTAGCTTAAACTAACTTTCGTAGAATCGAATTAAGTACTCATAATTTATTTAACTTACACTTGTTAGTCGGATTTTAATATCTCATTAGTCATTACTATGTTTTGATTAACTGTAAAAATTTCTGAACAAACCAATACTAAAATTAAAAACCTTAAAATCGTTGTCGAAAACTAAGTGGACATGCAGGTCAAAAGCCGTTGAAGCAGTTAAATCAAGTGGATAGCAACGTTAGAAACAATACCTACTTAACATATTATTTCCGAAAAGAAAAACTTTGATGAAATTTTTTGTGTATTATTTCATTTTAGACGATCTTTTGAACGGATTATAAGAATGTTTTAGTCAAGAAATACTTTCACTTATAAGTATTATAGGACGTATACTACATTATTTGAATATGAATAAACTAGACTTAACTTTACTTACCAAAAACTTTAACTTAAATGACAATCAACTAGACACAAAATTCAGGATGTTAAAATCATTTCTGGAATATGAAATTGGTATATAACAAAACTATTCATCAGCAGTTAAATAACTTTTATCTAATAATAGCTTATTTAATAGTTTTTTAAATATTTACAAAATATTAATTCTATTTTCTATTTAATTCTATTAATTTGTAATAATCTCTAACACAAGATACTCCTGCGTGAGATATTTTCTAATAAAGTAAAAACTGAGTTCATTAAAAACTAAACTCAGAAGCTGTATCGAACGCAAGATCGATTAGAGCCAATGATGTTCCTATTTGTTAAACAAGAACTCCGCACAGAATCGTTTTTCGTTAGCAATGGTTAATCGTTGCGTACAGATAAACATTAAATTTATCTTTTACTTTCCCAACTTCTTATCTACAACAGTGGCCCACTCACGTGCGAAGTATGTCCATCTTTTTTACTAATGAAATTTCAGTGGGCACACACAATCTTGCCCATTTAAAAAAAAGACCTATACATAAGTTCTAATTTATAAATATGAATCAACCAAAAGTAGGTGTACGTACCACCCTGCCTGTATCTAATTTTTACTAGCTTGGTACAGATATGTAATGTTATGTAATGACCGTTAATAGTAGTTATCTACTAATTTGGTGGCCAAAATAATATAATTGTAGTCATTTTTATTAGTTAAATATGCAAATAGTTGAAAACAAAAATAAAAAGTGCAATACAAAATGTTCATTTTCGAAATTTATCTTGAGATTATTTATATGCATATTTAAATACTAATTTATTTGTTTGAGGTTTTAATTTTGACATTTTTCTTAATAAAAAGCGTTAGTTACTTAAGTAAAAATTTCTATTTTTTCAAATTAAAATAATTGAAATATACTGAATGAATTCAATCAAATATCTGTTATCAATGTAAGCCACAGTGCTGTAAACATAAAAATGCACAGTTTATTAAAAAATTGTATATTAGGTAAACAACTACTAGTGTTTGGATGATAAACCTGATAAAAAAAAATTGCTTATAAATTAATTTAAAAATTAGTTGTACATTTACTTTTCCAAACTTTGAATATTTTATACTTTGATGTGCAAGGTGTATACATTTTACAAGATATATTTTTCAAATAAACAACTAGAAAACTAATTTTTTTAAATATCTACCTAAGATATAGTAGTAATTTTTGTAATATTTTTAACATGTAACCATTATAGTTATAATTATTACGACAAATATTATTATATCCAGAGACTTTAACGACATGTCGAAAAACTATATCGCCTTAAACCAATTTTAATCATTGATAATCATTGCTTTTACCGACGTATTTAGATTTCACTAATTTGAGTTAGGTACCTACCTATTTTAATTATAATACGTATACAGAAAACAAGTAACAAAAATATTAAAAAGTACGTACCAACCTTTGCTTATTCCAAGAATCTGATATGCAAACATTCAACAATTTGTAATTTGAATAGATTCTTATTAATCACTTGCACACACAATATAATATAATATACACTACACTGTAGAAAGAACCACGATGCCTATATCACCTATACCGATACCTATATATTATTATTCATATTATTTATCCCATGGCCATTTTATAATATTGTTTTAACATTTAAGTTAGTTCACCAATAATCATATATGAACGGAATACGGTGGTGATGAACACGCACAAATACACGAACACGATTCTGAATAGTAAGGAAAAAAACAACAAAAAAAAAAAAAAACACTTTTATCGATAACGAGCGCGAGACTATTACCACGGTTCAATGTATACTCGGTACTAACAGTTGCCGGAGCCACGATCGCGAACGACCTTACCAGAGGTTTTCTGGTTATACGGTTTCACCTGTGCGGTTCCTCTCTACCTGTATATTCCCATTGTGAACGCGATCCCCCACCTACATCTATATACAACTTAATACTGGTGTACGGAATACCTATTTATGTATATATTGAAAAAATTGAAATTAATATACGAATCACAATCATTTTTTTTCCTAAAAACTGTTGTTTTTAATCACGAATTTAATTTATATAAATATGGGTATACTGAGGTTAAAGTAAGGGAACGAAAGCGGACTTAAAAGATGCATTCTTAAACATAATATAATCTTCAAAAGTATGCTTTCTGGTAGAAAAAGTGTTCACATAAAAAAAAAATTAAAAAAAAAATAAACATTGTAAAACCATTACATTTCTCGCTCCACTCCGAATCTATTATGAAATGAAAATGTTCAAATATGTCAAAATATAAAATATTAATATTCGATATGTATCCATGACCAGGTGACTGCCGAATAACGGCTGCAAAAAAGGTTTTTAGTACCGTTAAACGTTTTTTTAGTAGTCAGCTGTAAAGGTGATTATTATATCGTATTGACATAATTATTAAATTGCAGTATTTCGTAGAATTCTGCATTTCGTGTAGTTTTGTACTCTAGCAGTTACTGAACGTAATGATTAGATTTTCTTCAAATAGTTTTTATTCAATTATTTTTTCAAAATATACATATGTAATAAATTAAATAACTGGAGAGAGAGGGGAATATGAAATTATTGAATGCTTAACCCCCCTGATTACTTAGATTACTTATTACCTTCTACATGAGTAAATAGTCTAGTGCAGTACCGCCGAACTTGGAGTACACGTTCGGCAACTGCAAGACCAAAATTTTGTGGTGGGTAAGTAGTGAGAAATATACGTATTATAAGTAGTATAGAAGACCATTAAAATACGGTATTGCCTTGTTTGTCCGAGTATTTGTAAACTATTACAGCACTACTGGTCTAGTGTGTGTATTATCATGAATCCGAGAAAAAAATCCCCAGAAAAAAAATCATTCTTTATGTTGAATATGTTTTCAGTTGAATTTCAGTTCTTAATTTTCAAAAAAGGGAATATATTTTAAAAAAAAAACTAATAAAATCAAATTAAAATAAATCAACTTCACTTTTGAAACAAATACATTTTTAGGAATGAAAATTATTCTAAATTGCTACGCTGCGTATGTGTTATATTGAGAGAATAACGTCGGTTTCGAATATCCTTATAGTACAACAAACTAATCAAACCAGAATGTAATCACGTTTAAGTTTTGATCGATATGTATAACGCTTGGATTATGATTGAGTATACATTTCTACCTCAAATGTTCTGTACACACTTCACAAACGTAAAAATAAAAGTAAATAAATTAAAAACACATCATAATTGTATTCAATTATGCTATAACCACTGGTTTTATCATTCTGTTCAAAATCAACAAAGAGTAAACTCGTTCAAACTATTGTACCATGTAAGTAAATCCATAAAAATGTTTAGATAAAATAACTCGAATTACAACTACCTATTTTCAATAAAATAATATCCGCAGTGCCTATTTGAATGATATCATGCCTAATAATATATATATATATTCGGTTTATTTAATGACTTAAAATTCATGTACCTAGAATAAATATAATATATTATTTGCACCTTTAACTCAAATAGGAACGCATAAAATATAACGTATTTTAATCAACGATAAACGAATTAGTAAATTATGTTTACCGTACGGATAATACATTAAACCGCTTGAGAGTGCACCGATCATATACTATAATATTACGTGTCTAGTATATTGGCATGTGAATTACTTCTATTTACTGTACGGAACGGTCAACAGTATTATACAATATCTGTTGCCTATCTAACATACAAGTAGGCGGTTTATATACCTACGTATGTGAACTGTGAAATATGTAAATTTGGATGGGATGTAGGCCGGAGCTGAAGATATAGCCACATAGATAAACAACATTATAATGTGCCTATATTGTTTATACGCAGTATATAAAAAACGTAAGTTTATTCCAAATGAATATGATTACGGATAATATATTATTATATAGTTGCGTGACATTCAATTCACATGAACCGTGAAAACAAAACATAGCCATGAAAATGTCAGTGCGGTTAGTTATATCCGGTCAGCTAGGTATTGGCGGCATTGCTACATTTTATGATAAATGTAATATATATAGGTGCACAATACTGTATTGGTCCAACTTAATAATCGGGGTGGAGAACACGTAGCTCTGAAAAAACGCTGAATATTGTGTGCAAGCACTAATGCACTTAAAAACACTAAAATATGCTCTAAAAATGTTTTTCTAAAAATGTAATTAAAAAATATTAATTATTTTAAAAAACATATAAAATAAGAAAAGCGATTGCCCGTATAATTTAATTATATGTCATAATACAATGGCCGAATTAATAAAATAATTTGTGTCTTAACAAAACTTTTACTTATACTTTTTATTGATTTAATTAAATAGACATTATATTGATTAATTCGATTTATAAATATATTTAGTTTGACATTAAAAAATACAATTTTAAAAATATTTTATGTTTGTCGTTTTGATGAATATTATTTTTACGAAATTGTGAAAATCTCCGAAAAAATCCCCAAAAGTATAATAACCTAGAAAATGTTTCAAAAGTTAAAAAATATCTAAATATGCAGAATAAAATGACATGATGGATGTCGCGCTATTTCCTGGAAACACTAATCAGCTACGACGTTGTTCGCGTCATACGTGTACGTATCACGCTTCTGTTGATTAGCAATTTAGCATATTTTTACAGGTATTGCTATATATATATATTTATATATATATCTCACGATATATTATATATTATTTAAATCACTGGTATCATTTTTTTTCATTAATAAAATTGTGTTTGAATATTATAGATTTTGGTTGATGTCGGACTATAACTGAGCGCTCGTTAACGTGACTAATTGCGACCAATGGAAAATGGCATTTAAATTCAGAAACTACGTTATTGTAGGAATATTTTCATAAAGTCGTTCGGCAACCTCCTTAACCAACGTTTCCCGACCTTATTGACCTCACCGAACACTAATACCACTCTATATTAAGCCTTGGTACACTTGACACTGACTTGTATAATATTATACACTAACATTGACTTTTTTCAACTTTGATTCTACCTCAATACCTTCAACTTATTTAAAGAACCGCAATCTTTATTTTTAGTATCGAAATTATACATAAAATGGTTATTATTAATAATCATGATATTTCCTAGCACACCCATAGAAGCCTCACGACACACCAATGTGCCGCAACATACTGGTTCAACTGATTCGGAAACGCCTAGGCTAGACTAGGGCCTAGAGATTAGTATAATGAGACGGACACATAAATCTAGCTGGTTAATCCTCGTAAGTATATCGGAAGGCTTTAACATACGATAAAAAAAACATTTTAGATAAAAATATTCACAAGGGGTACCTTAACTGAATTACCTTAAAAACTAACTAACTAACTAACTAACGGGGTATCGGCCAATTTTTAAATCATATACCATATATTACCATTCGTTCCGTCCGAAGATGTCCGCCCAGCGGACCAGATCGGAACTCACTTCATTGGTTCATTTGAGACACCATCATGAAACGTGCCAAGGTACACGACCTTTTATTGACGGCAAAATATGTGAATCCGTGCAATACACGGGAGTGTTTTATTAAGAGTACTGTATCGAAAGACCGTCTGGTGACAAAGTCTCGAGACGAGGTCTAGACACGAAGAAGGAAAGGAACGAACAAAAAAACGAAAACTAGGTAGCGGAGCGCGGAGACGTTCGTGGCACACGTCGCCGCGGGCCGACGTTTTTGGCGATAAGGGGGAACGTGATATAATTAGCCGTTAACCCGTAGTCAGAAATATAATACTATTGTGAATTGCAAAAGATTGCGATCGCATAAACCTTTGCGCGGGGCGGGGGGGAATTATTGCTCGCGATAACATATCCGTCGACGCGGGCGTAATCTATTAACCGGTCGACCAAATCGATTGTAGTTATGCTTGTCCTTTTATAACGGGAAATGGTCGTTTTTGGACGTTACAACACGGTTTAAAAGCCATAATTTTTACGATTTTCGTCAACATTTGATCTTCAAACACTTATATGAAAAAATACAACAATACGCTAAATTTTCTTTTAACACTAAGTACAACTTATATTGGACCTTGTGTTTATTTTTTTAAGAATTTCCATATATTTTTTATGCATTTTATCAATATAATACTTAGTACCAACCAAATAAAAGCTAAACAAATTAACTAGAAAATATCGAATGCTTACAAAAAAGCTCAAAATTCGCCAGAATGTGTTAATAATATGACCACGACTAAAGAAAAGACCAATATATACGTATTCTTTGAAAATAGCAAGTCTTTGCTATTATTATTTAACCGAAATACAACAAAAAAACAAAATTGAAAATAATGAAACCGTTATTTTCGTAAACTTTCCGTTTTGTCTACGTTTTTTCACGGTTTTGTCCAATTATTAAGAAAATTACATGAAAAATAAAAAAACGATTTTCTTAGACATTATCTATGCAATATATTCTTTCGGAAAATATACTGTACGATTGAATTTCGGTGTCAGATTTCTGGTAGAGAAATCAAATTGAAAAAAAAGAAAAAAATTATAAAACCATTATCACCGTAAATTTGATAATTTGTTCACTTTTACAATTTTTTCCCATTTTTTTCTTATTTATTATATAAACTGCTTGGAAAATAAAAAAATGACTTCCCCAATACACCAACTACACCTTACCTAGGCTAATCCATCTACCAACTTCCTGTATAGATAAATTATAGAATAGTTACGATTGTATTGTAAACAAATATTTTCTTGTTAAATAAAACGAGAAAGCAATTTTTAAATCAAGAACCGCAAGAG